GTGATCAATATTCCTATCCGTCCTCTAATTTGTTCTAACCTGTATCATAACGCAAGCCCCCACTGAGTAATTAATCAATAAACCCCGAACTAATACCCAGATAATACCTAATTTCAGGATCAAATTACCATGGCTGTCTCAAGTTTGGGGTATCTAGGAGCCCCAACTTCACATGGATCTATTCTCGGCCATCAGTTGTACGTCACAACGCAACCTTCATTAAGCGTGCCAACTGTGATATTGACAATACGAGTCTTACTAAAACCATCTACATTCATATCTTATAAAATATCAACACAGCTGCGTAATTTACTACAGTGAAAACTGTATCTTTCGTAACAATTTGATCTTACCTGTAAACTGGCATGCCTCATGTAACAAACCGTTATTTGAGAATAAATTATTGTTGTTATTGTTACCATAGGACCTTGAAGAAGCGTTCTGTGATTCATAAAGGTAACCACTTGATGGTTAATTTGAAGTCAAGTACGAAAAATTGACGGTAGGAGTAAGCTTTTCAATAACCGTTTTATCTTTGTTTTACTTAACTTTGCCATTACGGTGCTCGGGATATTGGACTACCACACTTCGCTTGATACTTTGTGGACTGATAACCTCTATTTCATGAGATTGATTTTGAAGCATGTTTACTGTTTGATTTCGGGGGAGTTTGCTATTATTTACTGCTCAGTGCTCATACGCGTTCCTGTTACCTTTCGTGTAGTACGTTTTATTTATATATTATGCACAATTTTGATCATTCTTTAAGTCGTAGCGGTATATAAATCCCCAAAATAAATAGCTCTGTAAGTTTTCGACATTGGATGCTGACCACATTAGTTTTAATGGACTCACCTAGTTGAAGGCGCTCGGTCATGCATCCGCACCAGATCACGAGTGGGAACGCCGCGCTCAACATCTTCTGCAATCGTTAGCCAGATTAGACCAGTCGATCCTCGATATATTGATAATCTATCAAATATATCTTCGAACTTCATCGCTTCTGTCTCTTGATTTCACTTGGTGGGTACGCTTCATATTAGGTGTTACCAGTTAAAGCGTTGTCAAACTCCGATACCTATGGCATCTTCAACACTGTTTCAAGGAAGATTATGGCTATTACCATCTTTTGAATTACTGATCTCAGGAGAGTGTGACTGAAATCTTACCAGTGAAACAGACACACCATATTTCACAGTATTCTTATTATTCCTCTGTATGAGCCTTAATTTTGTACCCTATTGTGAGATTTGATTGAACGCGAACAAGTATCATATAAACTGCACCGTGTTTTCTGACCGTATCTATGACCGTATCAAGCAAACGGTGAGGACTTATTGGGAAATCAAATGATGATATTCGAATAGTAACTTATTAGTAAATAACAAGAAGCATGCAAAAACAACTGGAATGATTACTAATGTTATTAATTGCAGAATATATGTACAACTTTGGTATTTTTTGTCGAGATGGTTTCGATAAAACTAAGTCCCTAAACCGTAAATTGACATTCAGAAGTGGATGCAAAAATCATTCGTCTTATAAAAGTGTGTCGCATTAATATTAATAATTGGAATAATGACTCTTTCACGTGCGGTTTAATCTAAAGCTCGTTCACTGTAACAACACAGCAAGATAGAGTCGGCCATCGATTTAAAATTATTGAATAATGGATTGTCTGAATCAATACCTTTTGTTAGGCAGTTTCTATTACTTGGAAGCCATTTGAGCCGAGAGCTTATGCGCACCTCATCAAGGGTTCTACTCCAAGTGCGTTTCTCGCCAACCCATTCAACCAATAAAGGGAAATAAAGGCGAACAAAGGGGAAATATAGTTGGAAAATAGAGAGGGATTAATGGTGAAACGCGCCAAAATGTCTGCTTTTTCGACTGTTTGTTGGAAATGATGCGGATTTTCCCCTTTATGTCGCTCTGTTTTGCAAACGTCACTGAACTGTCTACTTTTTGCCTTCAACTTTTAAAACACCTTTGACACATCCCCAAACATCTCGTGAGTTCGCCTCTAATCCCATAACACCACACAAAGGTATATGTTCAAAGAAATTTACTGAATAGAAAAAAACGTAATACTGTACAACATCATGAGTAGTTGGCAGATGCTAGAGCATCAGTCATTACATAGTTGCCAAGTTTTATTTAATTTGAAAAGATCCACAAAATAAAGAACAGATTATGAGTTACTTGTTGGGCACATATACTTAACTGCAAGTGCTTTTAAAATAAAACCGGCTTTCCCAACACTTAGTTAAAGACTTTTATCTGCAAGCAAGGAAGTAAGTGCATGTTTAAAGATTGTTTATTGAAAACTTAATTGAACATGATAAATATTCCACTGGTTATTTATTTTCGTAATGTCTGCTTGACTGTTGCGAATCAAAATAATCTTGTAAATTCTGAAATGTAATGAACAGAAAATGTTATAACGATATCTAAATGACATGCTTTTACACAACTAGCTACTTGAAGCTTCAATTAAATTATGTTCGTTAACACTGAAGACTGTGCCTATAGAGCAGCATAGAGTAGTTATCACACTAAATTAGTACATACCTGTTTTTGGTTTCTTCGACTACGCTTTTGTAATTTGTCTCTCATGCCGTGAAAATAGCGTTGCGTCGCGACATCATACAGTTTTGCAAGGTATTTTTCGTTGACAATTGATGACGAACCGATTAGTTAATGCCCTGAATTTTAAAAAAATAACATTTCCTACTTCGCAAGCAGCCGTTAAACCTGCACTTCTGAAGTCCTCCTTTCGTGAAGTGCCAAGTAGTGTGAAATGACCAGCAACTTCAGGTGTCGTGATGTATGACAAAATATATCGATTTCCGTTTTACGATTATCATCCATTAAGTGCGTCAACATGCTCATCTGTAATAAAAACAAGTGATCAAATTAACTTTATTGGCTTACAGATCTGTCCCTTAACTCTTCCTGCTGAAGACAAACGTCCAATGTTCCCAGTTCCTCTTCAGATGATAAAGGGAACTGTTGGCTTGACAGTCGCAATCGAATTTTCGCGAATGTTTACGCTCACAAGACTTTGAAAGTAGCTGCCTCATATAGGCACTCAAGTGGGAAATACCGGGCGATGTGTGCTGCAGTACAATATGGAGCCTATCTAATCCCAAAAACGTAACACAATTGGACATGAACTTACACGGCCGCAAACGCGCGGCCTACACGCCTGGACTCGAACGTTGATGTCGACGTATCTTATAGGACAGACGAGGTAATTAGTGATAGTGAACATAGAAAACAGAGAGCATGCCACTTACTTGCATCTCGTAAGCCATATGTGATGGCCACCAAACACTTACGAACACTTTAGCTAAACAAACATTAAAGTAAAAATATAAGCATCTGAGGAAAATCCATGTGCCTACATTACCTCACTTTTGTTAGTGATAAGAATCTTCATTTTCTATTAAACAGTACATCATTTTGTATACGTATATGGAAACATAAGTACAGAGGGCGCCATATCCAAACACGGTACTTTACGTATATTTGTCTACAAATCTCTTTCAAATACACGACGTAAGGGGAAAAAATCGACATTTCCTCTAAATAACCGACGTGGAAGCAAAATGTCGACATTACCCTTTTAATTACGCTTTCGTCCGCCTTATTGCCTCTTTATTGGTTGCCTGGGAACTGGTCAAGTTGCTCACTATATTCAGTTTTTGGGATTTATATTTATAATTGCTTATCACTGCTCCAAAAATGTTAACTTATGTCAGCCTACAATGGGAAACGAAGTTGTTGACTAAGTTTCGTCTTTTTTGCTCCTGAAGACTACTTCTGAAAAGCTACATGGTTATAGATGTTGTGTATCGACTTTAGCGTCATAAGACAAAGTGTTTTTTTGGTCTTGTAGTCTACGTATATTCGGGTTACTCTTTGGTCTCCTAAGCGGTGCCATAATCTGTGGGCGCCTTTTGGGTGTTTCCAAACTGACCTTGAGGAACCACGGTTATTTATTAGGGTCAAAGTACTGTTACAAAATAATGTGGTGAATTAGGATAAGTGGATAAGGTTCAGCTCTACCAGTTGTGACTACAATCTCTTCAGTGTTCAGTTCCAAATCCGGTTCTCGATAGTCATCTATATGTCTACTGGTCACTGGTTTGCCTGTAACACTTTGAATTCCACCCACGAGGAAGAGAATGTGTATAACTTAAACTCCGGTAGCCCGGTAATGTGTTGCACTGCCGTAATATTCGAATACAGCTAAATATACAAATTCTATTTCATACACATATAATGGTGATAATGTCCATATCTCAATGATAAACATAGAGACTGCTTAAGGAGAGTTCCAGCCGATCTAACTTCACTGTGTCATTAAGACAGGAAAGTACGATCCTTCCGTCAGTGTGCTTTTAATTGTCCGTTCTTATTTGGTTTTGTAACCTAGTATTCATGTTCTTACTTTTATGTGATTTTTTCTTGTTTCTCCATGAAAATGTTCCTCTATCTGGACCCTTTTTTAATGCCTTACATCAGGTACTCTCTCTTTATGTCTTTAAAAAAAATAACAGGGATATCAAAATGAGTGTTAGGTAACTTCATTGTAAAGCACTTCAGGATCTTATTTACACGTACGATTCAATTGAGTCAGTGGAACTTTCTCATACAGACCGAATAAAGTGATTCATCTCGTTATTCTTGATATGTATCGTTTTATTTTGCAGCTCATAAGTGGCCTAATTTTCATGATTGTCAATATAGCGAATAAGCATTCATCTTTATGTTAGTTTTGTCTATAATATTGCAGATGGACTCTGTGTTCAACAAATTAAAAACAAAAGTATCAGGTGCCTTACCTGGCAATCCGTTAACTCGAGAGTATGACATTGAGAAACAAATTGGTCAAACTGGTCCGGGTTCATTATGGAAATTGTATTCAGCTAAAAAACGTTCTACTCATCAAGTAAGTCGCATCACCTTCGTCCCTTATCACAGGAAGCCACTATATGGATAATGGAAAAAAATTGTTAGAATCTTATCCAAAGTTGCAACGAGAATCTATGATTGAAATACTTAAATACGGTGTGTCTACGTTGATGAGGATTAAGCATCCAAAAATAGTATCAGTTCTTCAGCCTTTAGAGGAATCACGTGAAAGTCTTGCTTATGCAACGGAACCATTGTTTACTTCACTAAATAGTGTATTGACAAGAGACTCTTCAAAAATTAGACAGCCAAACGAGTCTATGGATTTTTCTTTATCAGATACTGAGATTAAATATGGTTTGGTGCAGGTAATTTAAAGTATTTTTTACCGTCGTTTAGTTTCATATATGTATTCAATACTTCACGCCTTTTTCGTTTTATACACCAATAAAAGTTAAACAAATTTAACAGAGATTTCCATGAATTTCATCAACAACTCGATACCTACTTCAACTAGTCTTGAAACATCGGTTATAACAATGTAATATAACTACCAGTCAAACATCAAAATTATAGTGGATAACAGCCAACCAGCGATCATCTTATTTTGAGAGTACTTCTAGCTGCTACGTTGGTTAGTATATAGTCTTGTTAAGAATGGTCAAATCCAAAAGTTTTCTCAAATTATAAAGCCCATAATTGTTGGTCAAGGTTTGCGGGAAAGTAGGTCCTTTGGTGGGAGTGTGCGAGATAATTATGATTCATGGTTAGGGAGTTTTCGCTTATGTGACTCAAAATAGGCCTCATAAGTAAAATTCCATTTATTATTTTATGTTTATGTAAATCATGAAAAATTCATTTATTTCTTTAACCTCTTCTCTTTCAGTCAAGCATTTTTATCACGTCACTCAGCTATCTTTAAAAACTATGTTTTAATCTTGAAACTTGGCGCTACCATATTTAGGTCAATCATTTACGCAAACATAACGAATAAGACGGAACACTCGATTCTGTACTCATATTCCAAAGATTTCTTGGCGGTCCTCGATATGAAAATTATACCACGTATTGACATTTTCACTACATATTTCTTTTAAAGTACACAATTTTGTGTTATCTACTTGAAGTAATGTGTAAAAAGTTGGCTAAGGGGTTCAGTTTTCAGCCACTTAGTTACAGCCTCTAACCCTCTCCATGTAACTCGGTTTGAGCACTGGGTAGTATCACTAGCCCTCACATTCGCAGTATGGCTCAAAGCCAAATGCACGAAGCTGTACTTGATTGATGGTTTATAATGATGATAATTGAAAATTGCTTTTAAGTCTTATTCATTATATACTAATCAACCTTATCTGGAAAGTTAGGCGAATTTAACTTCCTGAAGTCCAAACTAAACTCTTTCGGTACCTCACTGACTTTTGAAACTAATCTTTCCACAACTCAGCTCATCCTTTGTAAAGAAAATCCCAGTTTCGTTGGTCGATTAATATTAATCAGCCAGACATTGATCATCACCTTCCACCCGCTTCATACATACATTTCGTTCTTTGATTGCGTCAAAAATACTTCCATAACTTAATGGTCTTTAGTCTAGTCAACACTATATGGATGACTAGATGTCACGGTCCTGAAAGAATTCTATTGCGTTTCTTTTTCACTTTCAGCTTGCAGAGGCACTGAATTTTTTACACTCTGATTGTCATCGTTTACATTTAAATTTGGCTCCTGAATCAGTAGTAATCAATCGTTTTGGTATTTGGAAGCTTGGTGGGTTCGAATTTTCAAAAGTAGCAGACCAGAACGAAAAATCAGGACAATCTCTTACCAAAATACCTCTTTGGCAGTCTAATTTAATGCCTACTTGCCAACTAAATCTTAATGCTAGTAGCCCTGAGGCGATCCTTCAGGTAAGTAATTCTTTTGGATTATGCTCACGAATTTTACATTGTGAATGAGGGGTTTATGAAAGTTTGGTGTAACCCGAAGATATTTTTTGGCATAAACTCAATTTCAGCTGAAGCTAACCATTAGAAATCTAAGAGCACTAAATATTTGTTTCGCTGTTTTTCCGAATCGTCAAAGTGTAAAGACAGTGATCTAGATACTTAAGATTTAGGTAATTTAGACATTTAACACAATTGGTGTATGTAACATAAATCAAGTCGTAACGGCTAGAGAATTTAAGCGGGGACACTTTAAAATACACCTGGTAATTGCTCAAATTATGTGTTGAAATTTTTTCTGAGATTTCCCCATTTCCTTTTCGTTTGTGCCTGGTTCTTTCGTCTTTCTTCCTCCACTAACTGTCTACTACCATTGTTCCATCAATATTTATATTTCTTGGTTTTGTTTTTTCTACAGTTTTGGTTGTATATATTAATGTGAAGTGTTCACAATCCATGAAATCGACAAGTTTGTGTTGTGGTGCACATATCCTTAAACCGTTCATTTCTGCCATAAATGGTGGTTATTATATCAAAAAATATGTAAATACTTCTGGAAAAATTCATTGGAGAGATGAGTAGTTTATTAACAAACTTATTTCTCAACTTGACGCTTAAAAAAACGTAATTATGAAATTTTAACTAATTTCGGTAATTGTAACCCGTTTGCTTGCTGGTTCTTCGGTTTTCAATAACTAGTTAGTATCAGTATTCATAATATGAAATATTTTCAAACCTATCGTAATTGTAATAGGTAAGCTGTAGAATTTAGAAAAATAACGAAAGGAAACAGGATTTCTGAGATGGTGGTGTTTAGAAGTAAAAACTCGGTTTCCAAGCACTTTATCTCGCGTTTAAACCCCAATCCACCTCAGTCACTTCACGCAGCCGGACAGTTTAACCAGCTTTCATGCACACATACAAAATGTGACTCAGAGTTGGGTATATGAACCTTCGACTGATTGATCATGTCAAGTCAAAACACAAAATAACATGTAGAAAACTAATAAACCATACCATTAGTTAAATATTCGAAAACCATAGCTACAAAATAAATGTAATATTGATATGTACACGTTACAGATTTATATGTTCGAGTAGTATTGAGACACTGAATTATGAAACTACTACAGATTTAGTTGTGACCTGGCAGAAAACAAGCAGTATAGTCAAGGAAAAGAAGTGAGTTTGCAACAATGATGTATTGTGAACGGTAACCAATTAACCAAACATATTGGCACCAGGAAAGCAACATTGCAATTCAAACAGACTGTATGACGATTGGTGACGAATTAGATGATATATATATATATATATATATATATATATATATATATATATATATATATATATATAACTCAACACGTGTTGATGTACCAGTCTTCAAGCCCCGATTTTCGTATATGGAAGACGAGTTGCGTAAAATCTATGCTCAAAATAAAGTAGGTGAGATGTGGTCAGGTTTCCATAAACAAAGGAACATTCATCTAGTACGCTGTTAAAACTTCCGCTATCATGAAAATTTAAAAAGGAAGTAGCTTTGGATGATTTCGATTAATTCTTATTAGCACTGTCGAAACAGTATGTTGGTTAGCTTGATCACTGGTTCCGGAAGATTTCTTGTTACTTTTAATTGAAATCATGCCAAAACTTGCGCCTATATCTGTGTTGAAATCAACCCTTTGGTATGGTTGATGTACTGTACTTCACAGAAGCAAGTGATCCACAGAAGCGATGAAATGAAAAAGCTCATCCTTCTCGTACAAACGATTATTTCTTGAAACGTAGATATCAGAATAAATTAAGCTGATGAAAACATATCATCAATTTATCTAAGAAAACGATTGTTAAGTCTGTCTGTCGCTTGATCACTTGGTTATATTCACCTATAGTCATTGCAAAACTATACTTTATTATCAACAGTTAAAATTACTGCTTTTATACTCGATAAAGTGTGTTCTCTAAATCATATATATGCATACAGAAACCAAATGATATTTTATGAACAATATACCGTAAAGTGTTATAAACAAAGAGATGATATTGCTCGTTACAAAGGAGGAGGCGAAAACGATCGATGAAAATTTATTATACACTAAAGGAGATCAAAATTATTTCTGAATACACTGATTTTTATGTTTCATTTACATTGATAAACAGTCAGATCTGAGTAATTTAAACTGACCAGCACTTCACATTAAATAATCAGTGACTAAATGTACGAAGAGAATTAATAGTATCATAAAGTTAAACTTTTATAACCAACAAATCTAACTAATTAGGTTATATGATCACTTCTTTCTAATATTTTCTGTTGTGGATGCGGAAGAATAGACCAATAATTATCATGTTAAGTCCAATGGTGTCCTTGGACTTTAAATGTACATTCCCTATTGGCTATTATTTAATTCATTCGTTACATATTCCGTAAATGTTGTTTACTATTTTTATGGTACGATGTGGTATGCTTGATTGGTATATAAACAAAGTATGTTTGAAATATGATGACTCATATCTCCGAGGCTGTGACTTGTGTTCTGGACTCAACTGACTGGGCTAGACAGGGAAGTGAGACCAATCGAGACTCTAGGCCGTCCGTACGTGTTTACGTGTGATTGGATCGATCGATAAGTACGCTGCTCTAATTTTCCAGTCAAGGACACAACAATTAGCACAGGGTAAAAGTCAACCACAACTTAAAGTCATAACATTTTCCCTCTTCTTAATTGAGTTTTATGTATAAAGCTCTTCCATTACGAACGAACTTGATTTGTCATTGCTCTTCTGCACAACATAAGCTAGTTGTTTTGAACTGGGAATGAAATGTTTGTCTCAAATCAATAGTTTTAATGAACTGACATTATATATGGTGTTCATCTTGTTGTGCTAATGAGGTGTGGCAACTTGGACCGATGCATATATGTGCCTGGTTCTACATTGTAGCTGACTGACATATATATGTATATATATATATATGTCCATATATTTTATGCTTTACTTTTCTTTGCATTCATTAAACGGGTACATCGATTTCTTATTGATAAGAATCGGCAAATATTGATAATTTGTTGTCAGTTATTAGTTTAGACTTCTCTACGGTTGTTCTGCTAGATATCTAATATCTTATCAAATGCTCTACTCATATTTCTGAATTGTTAATTTTTGGAGAGTAGTTTGTAAATGTAGATGACTTGATTGTTTGGCAACTGATAACTTAAAGGGTTTAGACATGTCATACGAAATGACTGTGTCGTCTAAGTTTTGGAATACAGATGTACCTATCTAAGACGTCATAGATTTATGCTTAATAGGTCGGATCCAAAACCCTATTGATATAGGTCATAGAGCGGCGGCTTTCTAATTAAAACACTTGGCTTTCAACTAGTGCACCATAAGCTCGGACCCTGCCCCGTTTATTTTAGTTTTGACAGCCGGGTAGTATTGTTAGCCCCCACACAATGAGTGTGGCTCAAATCCAAGTTTATAATTGTGTACTTAGTATATGAGTGAAATCAGTGATTGGTGCTATCATCCCGTGATAATCATGTTGCGATTATCGAAATGGAGTACTTCATTTTGTTTACTTTGGTGGGGGTGTTTATCATCTAAAACGTTCTGTCGAACAGGTAATTAGACTTAGTCTTTCTGTTCAAAATTTTAGTATTGTAATATATCTAAAAGTTACTACTGTCTAACAAAAAATAACGATACTCGTTTAAGCGATATTCTCTTTTCAGGTTTCTACCCGTCTTTCAAGTATTTTTCTTGTGCTAGCCGTTTCAGTTTTCTACTGTTTTCAAGGTAGATTAATGGTTTTTACGCTTCTATATCGGCAGATCACTTCGAGAAATATACTTTTAACTTCGTTGACTCTTAAGCTTGTTTTCTGGGGCAGAGCTCTTGACATTAGTTTAAATGTTAACTTTAGTCCATTCACAATAAATTCCTTCGTGAATTCACATAGTTGATGACATAGAAGATTCTCTTTTGACAAGAACTTGAGCCCTTATAATAATATGCGACGTGATACCTTTTACTAATTGGTTTTTAGAAACAACCCCATCCATACCTAATTTATTCTTGATTGAGATCATGAACCGATTGATGTCAGACCACCATTGAAAACCTGGAAGCACTAGACGGCCGTTTCGTCCTATTGTGGGACTCCTCAGCAGTGCGTATCCACGATCCTGCTCGCGGGATTCGAACCCAGGGCCGCGAGCGATATCGTGGATACGCACTGCTGAGGAGTCCCACAATAGGACGAAACGGCCGTCTAGTGCTTCCAGGTTTTCAATGGTGGTCTAACATCAATCGGTTCATGATCTCAATCAAAAGGTTAACAATCTCCACAACCCTTAAACTGTTAATTTATTCTGTTGTAATTCACCTAGCATTTTTTAAAGAATGCCAATTCTTCACAACACCCAAAGTATTTTTTGTATTATTAAAATTATTAGGGTGAAGTGACTGGTGCAAGTGATATGTTTTCGCTTGGTCTTTTAATCTGTGCACTATTCAATCGTGGCAAATCCATTTTGGATGTTGGAGATGATTATCACGCTTACAAACGAACGGTTAAACAAGTAAGTAGTATGATCTTGTAAACTAGAATTTTGTGCATATTTAGTTTTTTTTGTTTAAGTATTCCACAGCAAACGAAAAAGATCTAGTGAGATACAAATAAATATATGGGATTTTATTGTAGTATTAAATATATATTGGATAAATGCTGTCATTGCTATCTACCTCGTCTTTTTGGTTTGTTGTTATTACGTCTGTCGAACAAAGATACACTATTACTTAGCAATATTTTGGTGATATTACTACTCGATTGAAGTGCGATAATGTTGGTTCAAAGATATATTGTAGTAAATATGGAGAAAATTTCAGATTTAATACTTTCCGTCAACTCCTCTGGGTTTTTGATACATACCTGTGCGTTGGATTTAAAAAGCAACCTAGAAACTTGTTCGTTGACTATTTGAATCGTGAACCAGAATATCTTAAGCCACTATAGAAAAGGTGCATAAAATGATAAGAGATATATAAGAATAGGTGGTAGGTGAATTAACTTTGGCGGTGTACGAACTGTCAGTATCCACGTCGAATAATTTTCTGTTCTTAAAAGGTCCGTTTGTGACATTGAATTCGGAAAAAAATAGGTTTCAATCGACGACGTACTCAGTTTTGGTTTGTTGCCTATTCTGATGATCACTGGATTGATATATGAATATTACATTGGATTAAACGTCAGAACTAAACAAATGCAGGCAATTCGATAAGTTTCTCTCCATATAAAATGCGAGACAAAACTTATTATTATGCGAAAACTATTTAACAGCTTATCACTTTATACCATGTTAATTCACCCTGGTTTAGTACCTTGCTAAATACATTTGATGATATCTAGACCAACAGAAATGACACCCTGGTGTTAACAACACAGATATTGGGAATTTTATATTTACTCAAGGGATTTCAAAACAAGAACGATCTAAATGTTACAGATGCGCTATTATTGGTACGAATACGATTAAAAGAATGAATTAATAGCCTTCAATTATGGAGCTTCCCATTAGGAATTTCAGTAAATGCACAGTTTCAGACAAATAATACACATGTATGGTTGCTTAAGCTATTAGACAGATCAACTCACAGTTTCCTCGTCATTTTTGTGAGATGTAAGCAATAATTTTCTGGCTGTATCTTAATTAAAACGATGATCTGTGATTGGACGTTAGACGATGAATCGTCTAACATTTCACTCTTAATAGAATAGGTAGATCGTCTTTCATGAAACGTTGATGATCTGGATTATAAATTCGTTGATAAAAAGTATGAACTATGTATAAATGTTTGTATTATTTACATATCAAGGTAAAAAAACACCATATACATCATCGAGGTTTAAATTGTACTAACAATATATATGTAGTTACCCAGCCTATTTTATTTAGATACTTTGTGAGAATTTTGTAAACTTTGAGAAGTAATTTTTCCCATCAAATGCGATACCTCAGTAAGAAGGCAATTAATCCACCCAGGGTCACCTGCCCCAACAAGCACCTGTCTGAATGAGTTCATTAACTTATGTATATTCATAAGATGTATACATATTCGTCTAGCATTAAAACTTCGTGCACATACGCGTGCTAAGAGGCGTCCATTGAGATAAAATCATACCGTAGAACATAAGCTTGTGGTGCGTGCTACTTATATTGATATAAGTAGTATATAACGTGAGTCAAAAGAACGTAACGTCTGGCAGCAGAAGATGGAGAAGATCAAGAAAAGAAGAGCGAGAAAACAATGGAATTTGTAAGAAATCGGATGAACAATGAAATGCGAGACAATGGATTGATGTTTGCAAAGCAACAGCCGGTTTGATATGAAAGAATAGTATTTTGCAAATTAACGATTTACTATATGGTTTTTCTATTTTACCAAGTAATTCTGTAATTTGTCCTAAATCCAATTTGGTTGTCCTCACCCGTGTTCTTCCTCACTACATTTGGTGTCGCTGCCTCCACTAAGGATGAAGATTCCATGGCCGAAGGAGTTTGAGGACGGAGATGTGCTGAGCTTCCTGAAGGAGTTTGAGGCCGTGGCGGGGCTGGTGGGAGTGAAGGAGCCGAAGGCGAAGTTGGTGGTGCTGGGGACGCTGCTGAGAGGCAGGGCGAAGGCTGTGTATGACAGCTTGGACGGTGCTGGCGGGAAGACGACATGGGAGACAGTCACGGAGCGGTTGGCGGCGGAGTTTGACAGCCCAGTGGTTTTTTTTTTTTTTTTTTTTTTTTTTTTTTTTTTTTTTTTTTTTTTTTTTTTTTTTTTTTTTTTGCTGGCTGTGGAGCTTACCAGATTGTTACGCCGTGCGCTGCCGAGTCTGGATGAGGAGTCGGAGGCACAGTTGTTGGCGTCACAGTTTATCGAGAGTGTGCCTGCCACCGTCTCCCAACAACTGAAACTGGTGAACGCAGCGCAACCGATGGATATCAGTGAACTGGCGAAGGTGACTCGTCAGCTGATGACGCGAACAGTAGCTCCAGTCGGGTGCGAAAAGCAGGAGATGAGTAATGTCGAGAAGAAGATTGAGGAGCTGGAGCGTGAGATTGCAGCAATACGAGTGAACAATAAAAGGAACGATAAATGTTACGCTTGTGGAGGGACAGGACATTGGAAGATAAACTGTCCAACAAGACGAAGACGCAGATATGTTAGACGTTACAACGAGTGTTCTTTCTATCCTAGGAATCTGGGGATTGTTGCGTTAGTAGACAGAGGGGCAGTATATACGAGAGTGAACATAAATGAGCGAGATTTAGTTTGTCTGATCGATACAGGTGCAGCAGTATCGTTAATAGGCAAAGAGCAATGTAAGAGAATCAAGCCGTGTACATTAGCTGTCCACACGATAGGGGGCCATATGTTAGAGGTGTTTGGCGTATCTAACAGTATCGTAAAAGTGGGGGATGCTGAGATAAATTTTCCGTTCGTCGTAACCACAAGCTTATCGAGACCGATATTAGGAGCAGATTTCCTAAGAGAAGTAAAAGCGATAGTTGACTTAAGAAGCGGTAAGGTGGTCACGAAATATGGTTCATTGACAATACACGAAAGTAGCGAAGTGGCTGAAATAAGAGTTGCAGCGGATGTCTCGTCAAAGAAGCCAAACATTCACGAGTTATGCAAAAAGTATGCCAAACTATTCACTGGAGATGGGGAGCCGTATGGATTTTGTGACAGAGTAAAGCACGAAATACCGATAAAGAACAGTCGAGTAAATATATTTGCAACACGTCGTGTCCCGGTGCATTTAGAGGCCGAGGTAAATCGTCAGGTCCAGGAAATGTTAAAAGAAGGTATAATTGAGGAAGCGGACAGTCCATATAGCTCGCCGGTACTCTTGGTAAAGAAACCAAATGGAAAGTATAGATTTTGTGTCGACTTCAGAGAATTGAATAATATAACAGACCTGAAGCCTTGTGCAATGCCAACAGTGGTGGAAACATTAGATCGGCTACAGAATGCCACGGTGTTTACAGTGCTGGATTTACGGTCAGGTTATTGGCAACTGCCTATAAAACAGAGTGATCGAAGCAAGACAGCGTTTACTGTACGTGATAAACAGTATCAATTTAAACGAATGCCGTTCGGGTTGGCGGGTGCACCGTTCACGTTCAGAAGATTAATGACACTACTGCTCAAGAATCTAGATAATGTCGAGGTATATGGCGACGATGTAGTTGTGTACAGTCAAACAGAAACAGATCACATCAAGCATGTGGAAGCGGTCTTAAAGCGAATTGACGAATTTGGACTTCGGATTAATAAGGACAAGTCGCAGATAGCGAGAAGTAGCGTCACATTGTTGGGACATAAAGTGGGAAATGGAGAAATAAAACCATTGCCGGAGAAAATTCTTACCATAAAAAATATTGCAGTACCTAATTCGAAAAGGAAGTTGAGACAGTTCCTGGGAAGAGCGGCGTTCTACAGTCGGTTTATCAAGAATTTCAACGAAATAGCAGCACCCTTATATAAGTTATTGAGCAGCACCAAGTTTACGTGGACTGAGACTGCCGAACAAACGTTCAACCGAATCAAAAACATGCTAGACGATCGCCAGATGACGCTCAGACTGCCTGAACCGGGAAGACTGTTTACAGTGGCCACAGACGCGAGTGATCATGGTATAGGTGCTGTGTTGAGTCAGGCTGATAGAGTGGTGGAATACGCGAGTCGCGTCCTCACACCTGCTGAACAGAAGTATTCAACCATCGAAAAGGAGTGTTTAGCGATCGTGTGGGCAGTGGAAAAATGGAGACCATACCTTTTAGGTAGACGATTTCACATTGAGACCGACCATAAACCCCTGCAGTGGTTGAAAACAGCAAGAGACCCCCGAGGGAAGTTGGCGCGATGGATGATACGCCTGCAAGAATACGATTTCAGTATCGGCCATGTTCCAGGAAAAGAAAACGTAATGGCAGATTACTTGTCAAGACCAGACATGGAAGCCGACCTGCCATTAACAGCATACGCGGTGAATAGTTTAGAGGGAGACCCATTAGAACTCGTCCGGCAGCAGAAAGCTGACCCTAACCTTCGAGAGGTAATCAGAGTGATAAAAGAGGGAGCAGACGTAGATAAACGAACAATGGACAAGGAGGTAATAACGCTGCTTCGGCAAAAGGAACGACTGAGAGTGAACTCATATGGAGTGCTGACCTGGCAGGACGATGATGAGAATTGGGTGGCGGTGATCCCGAAAGACTGGCGGCGTAAAGTGATACACGAGTGTCACCAGGTAGCACATACAGGCATCGCAAGAACGACGGACTTACTACGACAAAGTGCATACTGGCCGAGCATGAGAGACGATGTGGCTGAATACGTGTTAACCTGCCAGCAGTGTCAGCTAATGAAAAGCGATCGATACACACAACCGCCATTACAGTCAATCCCAGTAACCGCAGTCGGTGATCTATGGTCGGTGGATGTGATGGGACCGTTTCCACAGACGGCGAGCGGTAACCAGTACCTGTTAGTGATGACGGAACATGCTACACGTTGGGTAGATGCCGTACCCATTGCAGACCAGCGGGCAAGGACAGTGACCGAGGTGGTAATCCGGCATATTGTAGCGTGTCACGGAATACCGAAGATGATATTAACTGACCAGGGTCCCTGTTTTGAAAGTGACGAGTTTAAAGCCCGTTTAAAGCAGTTTGGCATCAAGAGAATACGAACTACACCGTATCATCCTCAGACAAACGGGCTTACAGAGAGAAACAATCGGACGTTAAAGGAATGGTTAGCATCAAAAGGAGGAAATTGGGAGAAAGAGTTACCATTGATTTTGCTGGCACATCGTTCCTCCACACAAGGAACAACCAAGAAGTCACCTTTCTTGCTCATGTATGGCAGACAACCACGACTTCCAATGCATAATAAGACCTGGCCACAACAACAGAAGTGGACGACAACAAGGTTAAGAAAAGAGAGGAGAGAGGCAATAAGGAACGTGGAAAAGAAACAAATATCAGACACAAAGAAGGCAGAACAACAGAGGAGAACGTGGAAACCCTTTGCAGTGGGGGACCTAGTAAAGTGTAGAGAACGAAAAAGTAACATAGCAGGGGGAGCAGGGTCGGGGAAGCTGGCCCCAAAATGGGAAGGACCGTATGTTATCACGGAGAGACGCGGCTCGGTCTACACGATCCGGAGAGAAGACAAGCAGAAGCGCGTAAATGCTAGTCAACTACAGAGATGGTTTCAAGATCATCATGGGTGTGAATCACGAAAAGCACCAAAGAACACAGCGGTACGGAGATCAGAAAGACTACGACAGCAACTTGTTAAAAGGGGGGACGAGTGTGGTGCGTGCTACTTATATTGATATAAGTAGTATATAACGTGAGTCAAAAGAACGTAATGTCTGGCAGCAGAAGATGGAGAAGATCAAGAAAAGAAGAGCGAGAAAACAATGGAATTTGTAAGAAATCGCATGAACAATGAAATGCGAGACAATGGATTGATGTTTGCAAAGCAGTCCGGTTTGATATGATAGAATAATATTTTGCAAATTAACGATTTACTATATGGTTTTTCTATTTTACCAAGTAATTCTGTAATTTGTCCTAAATACAATTTGGTTGTCCTCACCCGTGTTCTCCTTCACTACAAGCTAACATTAGCTAACAATAAATGTCTTAAAGTTCTAATGAGAAGCAATGATATTGAAAGTCAAGGAAGTTGCCAAACAATTTATAACACTAATCGTTCTGGATTAATGATGAAAATGTGAATCGTTAGATTTTGGCTATGCATAGCCTGAAGTTTTATGAGCTTAACGTCATGTCTGGTTGTGTGTACTGTTAAGAAAATTCCATACTAGACCTAAACTGCTATTCAGTTTTCCAATATTTGGACTATCCGGATGTGTTAGTTCCGGGCGCGTTGCTAATATGATGGACAGTTGACCTGATACAAAATAATGCTCTCTAAGTATCATCATTTTCTCTGCTTCGCTTTATAAATTTAAGACAATTGATGAGTATATGAAATGATAACGTTTGTTCACAGAAAATCGTACTTCAAAAGTATCGTAAAAACTCAAAGCCCTTGCACTTTTTTACATTTCGTATTTAGAATGCTCATTTGAATCAACCGTTTGTGTTGGCTGCCACTCTTTATTTCCATCGAAAGTAACAAATTCGATACAAAGAACGCATCTCACTTCACGCAAATCATGAATCAAATATATGCTCACTTCATGCTTCAAAATAAATTCTATGATTGACCGAACGACTCAATATTCTTTTTTTGAGAGTATTGTAGTCTGTATGTATGACTTTGTAATCAACGTTTCAATAAAACGTTTTTAGATAAATTGAAATTATTTTCACCGTTGCTGCATCATCTAATCGATTTAGTCAAATGATGCAAATATTATTTTGTTCTACAATCTCTTTGTTGCCACGCTGCCAATGTTTCATACATAAAACCACATTAAATCGCTTTTTTTTTGCACAATCGTTAGGTCATGGAAGCACCGACTCTCCTAAATCCATCCCATAGGTCAAATACCTGGTCACGAACTCATATTGTTATCACAATTATTTTTCAGGTCCTCAACAAATAAAATACCGGACCATAACACTACAGTTTATGGGTTGCAGTGGGCACATTATTAAGACATTTCTGACACATAACCGAATAACCCATTGATGGTTAACTGGATTTTACTTATGGTCAACACAAAAGACAAATATAAGTAGTAAGTTAAAAGGGAGCTTACAACTGATATTGTAACAACTATTTTCAACAAATACTCAAAAATGTACACATTAATTCATCAAAAATAAGCTACACAACTTTCACATTTTTTCTTATTCTTGTTCATTTTTCTAATAAGCTCCCATCATTATTATCCAGCAAAGGATTGGATTTACCGAATAATCTGAAAGAATATGTCAAAATGATGCTGTCATCAGATCCACAAATTCGACCAGATGCTGTACAATTTTTAAGAGTAAGATTTATGTACAATAACTAACTCATTTTTCATATATATTCCTTATTCATGAAATAATCTTTTCATTCTTTCCAAATAATATGATTCCTTCTTTAAAAAATCTACAATCTATTCGAAAATTTTATGATCAATATATAGAGAGACTTATTAAATGAATTATCAATAATATCTCTTCTTATAAGTTGTAGTACTACTTGCTCCCGAATGCCCTGGTACGGTCGAGAGTGGGGAGAGTCAGCTCTCCCTCTCGAAATGCTCTCACATGGTCACGTGCATACAACCATTGCCAGGGAAGTCCTATTCACTGCCTTCTCGCAGCATTAATGTTGTTTACGTAATTCAGAAGACGAAAAGCGAATGTCCGGCGATTCCACCGGTCGGTGGACACGGAGGAACTATTCAAAGGAGTTGGGGAACCCTGATTACAAACCAATGGTGAACATGGGCTCCAGTATCCTGAAGGAAGACATAATGTGTGAACCAATCGTTGGTCACCGGCTACCATGAGACTGCATCTCCTGACGTTGCTCCACTGCCTTGTGGATCAAACCTTTAGACCGAAGGCTCTGAGTGTGACCCCCTAAGACAACGACCTGCTTCGGTTTGGGCACCCGGGCAGTATTCCAGCCCTCACACAAATCGAGTGTTTTATGTGGCGCATATCTATTTGGTGCCTTCTTGAACCTATGTTTATGTGTGAAGTACCACTTAACAGTTGATTCAAAATTGAACGAGTGACGTATTTTATTTCCAGTATGGTGATTTATGGAGATTGTAGTATTTTCACAGTTGAATTCATGAGTCGATCTAAGTTAGATCACTATTGAAAACATGGAAGCACTGTTTCGCAATCACTAGAATTTGACATATTTAGTTTACTAACAGATATTTTGCATTTCATTTAAACATGAATTAATCACTATTCTGTTTCAAGACCATAAAGATAGATAGATGCAGACTACTTGGTTGGGGTCCGCGTGACTATCGTAACTAATGGTTGGAGACTCTGGGTGACATGGCTCAGGATCGATCACAATGGCGTAGGTGTATACACTCCCTGTCTTCCCTTAAACTTTGAGATTAAAATTATTTCATATCTTTCTTTCTACGAACTAATTATTTCTTTCTGTACTATATCCTTACATGAAATCTTTCCTTTATTTATCACACAATTGAATTAACTGCTTCTATGAATCCGGTGTCCGTCTTGCTGTGGTGATGAGGTGTGGCAACTTGGACCGATGCATGTATGTGCCTGGTCCTACGTTGTAACTGACTGACCATAAAGATATTGATATTGAATTGTTCTCGTATCGTTCTTTTTTCTTATTTTTATCGTGTTTTATTATTTATTTGAATTATTGGTCATCTAATGGTGCATAGAAATTTGTGAGAAAATTTATTTCTTCTTTGTGTATATAATATACTTTTACATGTAAGCGATTAGCATTAATTCAAACATACTACTGACTAAAGTAAGTGGTTTAAAATTAACTTCAAACAGATCATCGATAGGTTTTGATGAACCAACTAATATTATATGAGCACGAGATGATTGTTCATCTTTTTTTACAACTTGGAATAAAAGCGAAGTGGTGGTTTGAGAATTAAAACGGAGGGTTTTGAACTGTTAGACTTGTTGGTTTAAACTCCTCTTTATCTAATTCTGTTTGAGTTTATGACAGAAATCACTAAAACACACATAACAAATGTAGCTCAAATTCGATTACATCATTATGTAATTGGTAAATGAGTTACTTCCCCTCTTCATATATCCCCTCCAGTTATCTCATATAAGATAAAATAGTTTCTCATCTAATTTTTAACTTGGTACAACTGCTCACAAATTTCAGTTACAGTTTGGAAAGGACAGGAGGCTTGATGGCCGGTGTTAGTTCTAGTAATGATGGTCTCTCAGTTGGTCCAACTTTCTTTTGAAAGAGTCGACGAATGGAGCCTCAACCTCATGCTGGGGTAATGAATTCCACTCCCTGATGATTCGATGAGAAAGTCGATAGTCAGCTGACAAGTAATTTGTTCTGGGCTAATAATATACTTTTCTGGATTTTTCACACCTGTTTTAGTTTCTAGCGATATGTTCTTATGATGACTGATATTTTTCATATCATAGTAGTACAGTCAGAGTAAGATATTAAAGTATTTTGATGAAATAATGTTGTGTATACAATGTTTAACAACAGCTTTTTCGGCGAGATTAAAATAACTGTCTTAGAAAATGTCAATTCCCAGCTCTGGAAACTTGATTAAAACCGACAAATATCCAAAATAGATTAACCCAATCAACATTTATTTTTAAACTCCATAAGTCAACTATTTATGTTATTTTATAATCTAATCAGTCGAATTCACAAATATTTCTCATTTTGGAATTCTGCTTAGAGGTCACTAATACTCTGTGGTTGGACTTAATAATGTAAATAACCTCCGTAACTAAACTTGCCGTGAAATGAAATATCAATCATATCCGACCTCTTGAATGATTTGCTGATGAGGTTTTATAGGATGTTAGTCAGTTAAGGAACTCAATATTAACAATATCCGGTGTTCAGGCTTAACATATCTAGATACCATATATGTTGTGGACTGTGAAGTTTTTGTAATTCGCCTACAGCATGTATCATTTTATTGTTTTTTTTAGAAATTTATTTATCCATTTATCTTCACCGAACCTCTCCAACTCATTGTGTACTCTATAATGTTCATTCCTGATTTATTGGTTACGTTTTGAAGACAAAAACCTTTAAGCTACCTTCAAGGATACTGTAAACGTATCTATGAGCAATAGACATTTATTTATTTCAATGAATTTCGGTCTGCAGTAGATCTGAGCAGTGCCTATTTTTTAGATTATGTAGGGACTGGGTGGAAGATACTATCTTTGTTTTGTTTTAGAAATGCTGGCTAAGAATATCTCACCATAAATTTAGGGTATATCAAAATGTCTTCATTGTTTATTGACAAGTGTTTCTTCGTGACACACCATCACATTAAAATTCTTAGCTATATGATCTTCCCAATACTTATTTCATACATGATGTTTTTTTGTGGTATTTTTTAGACAACATATTTTGAAGACGCATCAATGTCAGTTTTACGAAGTGTGGATAATATGTATCAATTGGATAATTTATCTAGATCACAGTTTTATAAATCTTTGCCGAATTCTATTCATGCTTTGCCAAAAGTGAGTTATTCTTATGAGTGGGTGATAGTTCTCTACATATCGTTGAGCCCAACTTTGAAATATAGCTACAGTATCGTTATAAAGTATATAATACTACTATTTATTATGTTTCGAAGATGACTGGTTAATGGGAAAACATATTTGTTGTCCTGGCACCAACCAATACGCAGCAAGCACGAGGAGGACTGATACTATATGCTTGACGGTTAACCCAACTCTAACCAGCTCTGAACAAATAGGAAGAACACTAGACCTATGATCACAAGTCTCAAAATCGTTATTATATTTCAGATATTCATTTATATACATACCTAGCAAACTAATTGAGTAACATAAATAACATGGAACAATAACATTAATAATGGGGAAAACGGAGTGCAGAGTACACAAGTAATCGGTTCTAGTTTATGAGTGGAAAATGCTATGACAACATTTTACGGTCCAAATAAAAGCTTGGAACTGGGGTAATACGAAATTAAACAGACCAAAATACTTGGTAAACATGCAGTCAATATATTCATAAATAAAATTGTACAATAATAGATTCGAAAGTTTCTACTTCACAGTTAAATCGCCTCTCATAACAGTGGTTACTTACCTACGGAATGTTTTGTTGTCATGAGTCAATCTGATTATATTTGGACAAGATAGTGCCGTTTCATTTTGTCAGTTGTTATACTAATGTCTTTTGGACAGATTATTCAATAAATACTTATTTGATGTTGTTATACCCGGACAAAAAATAAGGGAATGGTAACTACTAGGAATTATTTACAGGCCGTCATATATATATATATATATATATATATATATATATATATATATATATATATATATATATATATTATATATATATATATATATATATATATATATATATATATACTTTCTTTATTTAAACATATAAACATTGGTACAAGGAGGCATTAAGTGGATATGTGCCAAATAAAACATTCGATTTGTGTGAGGGCTGGAATACTGCCCGGGTGCCCAAACCGAAGCAGGTCGTTGTCTTAGGGGGTCACACTCAGAGCCTTCGGTCTAAAAGTTTGATCCACAAGGCAGTGGAGCAACGTCAGGAGATGCAGTCTCATGGTAGCCGGTGACCAACGATTGGTTCACACATTATGTCTTCCTTCAGGATACTGGAGCCCATGTTCACCATTGGTTTGTAATCAGGGTTCCCCAACTCCTTTGAATAGTTCCTCCGTGTCCACCGACCGGTGGAATCGCCGGACATTCGCTTTTCGTCTTCTGAATTACGTAAACAACATTAATGCTGCGAGAAGGCAGTGAATAGGACTTCCCTGGCAATGGTTGTATGCACGTGACCATGTGAGAGCATTTCGAGAGGGAGAGCTGACTCTCCCCACTCTCGACCGTACCAGAGCATTTGGAGGCATGTATATATTATTACTATTAAGTAACTATATTATATGTGTGTTCATATTCCTTTTATTATAAGCTTTTATTTGACCTATTGACGACGATTATACGGCTAACTATCCTTAAGTTATTCCCAATTTATCACAATCACAGCCACTTTTTGGCTTGATCTTGTATGACTGTTATTTTCTATTTTATGATACGATGCGGTCTGGTTTGTTTGTATATAAACCCAGTATGTCTGAAATATATGGTTCGTATCGCGGAGGCTGATATTGACCTTCTGGACTGAGCCGGCGGTGTTAGGAGAGAAGCTACTATTTCAGAGGACCAATAAAAATTCTAGACTGCTCGTAAAGGTTGTTGTGTCATTAGCCTGGTCGTATAAGTCAGTGTCTGTAATTGGCGGTTGTGTCACGTGATATAATTAATCGGGCATAAGGAAATAACAGATGTATTTGTCTCAAATAATTGTGTGATTTACGCGTTGTGTACTTTATGATTCAATTCATCAAGTTTAGTAGAAAATCACATGATTTACACCACAGCACGATTTATTTAAAATCTCGAAGATACTTGCAGATCCTGAAGTATTTCCTCACTGAACTACATCTACTTGGATTATACAGACAATTTAAAATTTTTGAATATTCACCATAACGATAAGTCATATTTTAGCCAACAAATATCTATAAACGCCGACAACTATTTGCTGTCTGTTGATCCAGTTTCTGACTAAATGATAATGTCTGCTAGTTGTTAATCGGATTTTCTTTCTCAGTCAGTTTTAAATACACATTTAATATTCATAAAATGTGATGCAACTGGGCACAAAAACAAGGTAGTGCCACACAGCCTACGGAAATAACATTGTTAATAAAAAACAAAAGGCATTCAATCGAAGAGAACAAAAAGGAGGAAGCTTTAATAAGTGGAAAAAATGACGCTACAGAAGATACCATTCAGTTAACAATATAACCGAAAAACATTTTCAGTCGAAGGAGTTCTTTTTATTTTCGTAAAAAATGTAAAGGAAAACTACAGCAGGATTCTCGTTCTTTTCCACTTTGAGATATTTCTAATGGGTTCTCAAGCCATTTAGTTGCACCATCTCTAGAACCCTAACTCATAAGTCGTGATGGATCGATAAGTACCAGTCCTACGCAATCTTTCATACTCCGGCTCTATGTCATAATCTGATCGCCTCCCATATTGTTCCATCCAATCCCAGTCAGCAATCCATGATGGGTCACTAAGTCCAACATTATAATTTCTAACATTATAGGTATCATTACCAAGGTTTGATTTGATAATTTCGAATAAATTGAGCATTGAGTAGATTGTTATAAATAAGTAAAATTTGTAGAAAAATCTAAATTTTCTACTCATTGGGATATTAAAAATATTTATTTATTCTAACATCACAGTTTACATTGGTAAATAATATATTTCTCCTGGGCTCTTGATAGATGAGTTGTAAAAACTAATCTGTACTTTAAGAAATTATATATATATATATATATATATATATATATATATATATATATATATATATTATTTGTGTAAATTCAAGAAGTAATTATAATTACTTTTCATGGATGAACTATACGATCTTGTGCTGAGAATTCTATATTGTATCAAAATGTAATATCGAATAAAGCCATTAATAATAATAATAACACCCGAAATTACATTTGTAAAACATTTTGTTTATCTATACAAATCAATGCTTCATATTACACGAAATGAACTCACTTCGTCTGATCACGTTTAATGTTTATTCCTTTATAAAAGTTCACCAAAGGAAACTAACTAGATAAAATGAATTTTCTATGATTCTTATGTAATGACTTCACTGTATCCATGTCTGTTATCCATATACATATACTATATTTTATTCTTAGCGTTTATGTCTGTTTCGTGTTTTTCCACAAATCGCTGAAGATTTTTCCAATCCACATATGGTACCATTTATTCTACCAGCTGTTTTACAAATTTTGGATTTAGTTACACAAGACGAGTTTATTCAATATATGCTACCACGTCTTATTCCTGTAATGTCAATGAAAGAACCTATACAAGTAAGTTTGTATTTCAACTGAATGTAAACTGAATCAGAAAGTCAAAGGACGTTGAACAACAATAATCTCTTGATAAGTATAAGTAATCAGGAATTTTTAAATTTACTCTACTATTCAGGTTCATGTGATTTGTTAAGGTGTACATCCTATTGCGCTAATTATGTTACGATGAGATGAGAATTGTTTTTGATTCCCCATGTTTGACCATTGTATTATTACATTATAACATAAAATCAAGCAGAAGTATCTTACAGGAACCTTAGAACAGCAATGTTTTTATCTAAAGTCGAAAAATTATGTATTTAAGGCCACCAAATTATGGTACTTTTAGTACAAATGGATTTATAACAATAATTGTAATTAAAAACTAACGACATTCATTCATTGTTGTTTCATTGCCTTAAAATTCTTCAACTGTACAACAGGCATCTATAATTTTTTAAAACTCATCAAAAGTTTAGTGAAATCATACGTCAATACATGGAAAAGATGTTCCAAAACCGATCAGTCACTCAGTCATAATCAACCTACAACCAGGTATATGTACTCATTAGTTAAAGTTGCCATACGACATCAGTGAGACGAAATTCCCAAGAAATACTAGAGTCGTAAAAGTAATAACATTGTCAATATCACGGAAATGGACTAGGCATAAATAATGAGTTGGTAGTACAGAGCCTTGATCAAAGCGTGTTTCAAAAATCGTCGCGTTGGGACACGCTGATTAGTTCATTTTCAACCAATCAGCTACAATAGAGGAACTGAAAAGACTCGAGAATATTCATGTGAAACGCTTAAATACACATTGATGTTTTCTTACTACATTAACTAACTGAACTTGCTGTTTGCTTTAGGATATATTTACGTTTCTGTTCTAGTCTTGTTTTGATTTGGGGACCGGTCGAGTAAGGTGAAATGTCCGAGATTACTAGGCAGTAGAAGAATACTGGACTGAAGGAGATTTAATACGATGTGATTCGTGAAGAATAAATGAGTTTGAGAAGTAAAAAAGATAGGTATTTTAAGATGTGAGTTAATTAGCGCCCAAACAGATCAGTATTTAACATGCTTCCGTACTTTAATGCAAATTAAAAACTTACAGTAAAAATTTATCCAGGCAACTAAAATCTGAGATAGGATAAAAATGCTTTAGAAAAAATGTATGGCAAATATTTTGACTACTCATAAGTACTATAATGTGATATCATATTATATACATTGAAGGTATATTTGCGCAAAAAAACTTCCTGTGTTAATAAAGAGGGGTTTTCTGTAGATTAAATTTACTTGTGCATGGTGTTCGTCACAGGCTGATTTCATTTAGGGTGTCATTAAAAATCATAAAACACCAAACAGCCATTTCACCTCAAAATGGGATTCCTGAGGGGGGTGAACCCAGCTTTTAGCTCTCGAGCACACATTTCTAAATTCAATATTACTCATTTTGAAAAATGATGATTTTTGCTTTAGTTTATTTGTCTATTTGCTTATTAACCGCTTATTAACGCTTTTTAACCGAGGCTAATTCATATTTTAAATTTTTCAAACTGCTATTGAGAGACTGATATTCAACTGATCTAAGTGACTTTCAAACCCAAATGCTCGTCTTTCTGCTTTGTTTATTTCTTTCTCTCTTTCCCTTACGTTAAACTTCTTTTCTATTTCAGATTATCTTAATATTTTTACAAAATTTACATATATTAAGTGAGAAATTCCCAATCAAAGAGTTTCGTAATTATGTTCTACCAATGTTACAGTTAGCTTTGGATATTGACAATAAGATGATACAGGTTAGTTCATCTTGTTTTATTCCTTTCTATATACTCATTTTATTATTATCATACATCTACAATCTATCAGGTAATATGAATCTTCTTCATACAGAATAAGCACCGACGATGTCAAGAATGATAATTGAAGCTTCATAATCAAACCTTTTTGAGTGAAAATTACGCTAATAACGTATTAATCATTTTCCATCGGACCTATTAGAGCTGCATTAAACTATGCAAGTTTTTCGAAGATTTATTAATGAATGAATACTTCTGTAAATTTTTTCCTCTTCTTTCCAGTTTGGATCAAGGTTACAAGCTCAACTATGAAAGGTTGTATTGGTTTTATTACACCTGACAAGATTCACTACTTCTGTTTACTGATGTTAATATAATCAACAGTGGGATGTAAATAATGTATAGATTATTCTTCTATACCTAACACGATTAATCAGTTTGTTCATCTCAATAGGATTGATTACGAATTATTTGATTAACTGATTCTTTCCAAGTATCATTTAACAGTCCAAACTCTAGACCCTGCTTTTCTGTGTTAAAATCACTTTATTTCGGCTATTGAAACGTATCACTAGTATTATTTGGTTATTGAAGTTGAACATTTAAACTAGCTTTGCGACTTAGTAGCTGAATAGTATTTTGCTGTTCACAAGATCTTGGATCGGAAATGATTACAGTCTTGGGTGAACTTTCGTGATGAAAGTCTCACAATTAAATGGAAGAACTGTTCAATATGCTTTAATCTTCAGTACATGGCTTTTTAAGATGAAAATGACCTCCAAAATTATACAAAAAACTCCACCAAACTGAATCAAAATATATCTGCTAATACGAGTACGTTGTACGCCTATTAGTCTTGTGATGTTTGTTTAACCATGAACATGATTCATCTGACAAAAAATAACCATGATTGACCGCAAGAATTCCTATTCCAACTGTTCCAGTATTCAGCTTCCCCTTACCCTAACAACCAATCAGAAGTTATACACAGCATGCCGAAAAACCAATTATTATGACTGTTAGCGGGACATAGACTAGATTAAAGCATGCTCAATGCATGATTGCTTTGCTGCACGCTGATTGGCTGATTCTTATCCAATCAGCAACAGTCGATAGTCGGAGAATATTCTGGAATCTTCTTATGTAAAAAACTATAAATATACTGACGTTTTTCCCTATTATGCTTCTGACTTGCTATTTGGAATATAATCTTATTCCTGTTCAACCGTGTTTTGATTTGGGGACTTGTCGAGTGAATCGGTGTCCGAGAATACTAAGCAATAGGAATAGCTGGGTCATTCACCGTAAGAAAAGCGATTTATAACAATGACCCAAGCACTCATAGAGTTATATACATTCATTACATGAGCACAGCACACCAGAAATAAAAATTCATAGTTTATATACAACTAAGTCAAAAGTAACACAAGAATCAGCAGTAGGTCCGTAATTAATTAATAATAATTTTTGAATGTTTAACGTATATCATCTGTTAACTCATTAAATAAAAGCACACAAATAGGACAATATGGAAACACCATGAATAAATTACATGGTAAAAATAGATGTAATGACTTACCCTATAGTAATTATATGAGTCCCATCTTCTTCAGTTACTCTTCTCCGTTCCAAAACCATCCTTTTTTCGAAGTACTGGCGGTAGTATCGTCCATGTGGGTTTATTCTTATTTGGTTCGGCTTCTTTAAACTCATAACTTCCTTAACGTGATATCAATATTTTTTCGGGGTTTATGGTCGGTCAACATATTCAAGGGACTAAGAGGTTTTTACTTCATTCTGCTACCAGCTTTTGTCTGGAAAGTTGAGACGCTACATCCATCAGTCAGTTAAACAGAACTTAGAACCTGGCTTATGTGTACATCGGTTCAAGTTGTCATAGCCCGTTAGCATAGCGAGGTCTAGTTGTCAGGATGAATCTTAGGGTAGTAGAGGTAGTAACGGTGATAGTAGTAGTAGGAAATACCAGTGTCGAAGATACTATTCGAGGAGATCTAAATTAGTGAGATGATTAAAAAAACTATGAAGAATTTAGAAAATTGAAATATAGGGAGAGAAAAGGTGTTAATGCACCTGGATCATTGTGAACGATTTTGAGCCGTGTCATTCAAGTTTCCGATCATTGTTTACAATAATTCTGCATACCGAAACTCATAAGTCTTCATGTGTTGACATGTCTGATTTCAATAGTCAGTGTCTTGATGGACTATTACAGTCTTTTTGTTTGGCAACCCCTAGGTTTCTTCCAACGTACTCATGCACTAAGTGACATCGCGGGTCGAAGTAGACGGTGGGTGGGAGTACGTGACACATGCATCAGTCACCTTAGTTGGTGAAGACTTACCACTTCATCAACCAGTTTTTCATCTTTACCTATTATTCTAAGCCTGACATCAGTACTGCTCACTCGTCGGTTCCAAGATACACGAGGAATGTTTCGAAGACACCTATGATCGAATACTAGTAAACTGAGAATATCCTCTATTTTAAAGGGCATGTTTCATCCCATAAATTAGAATGGAGTGGACTGCTGCATAGCGTAGTCGTTTAGATGGTAGGTGGGTGCCTCGACTACGTTACAGACAACACAAATCGTCAAAGGCTAATCAGGCTTCCTGGATTCTTTCCGTAACTATATCACATGCCAACATATCAATGCTGATGAAACTTCTGAGGTATGTAAAATGGTCGGTGTGCTCGAATACGCCGCTCCCGATCACTAGTTCAGGCGCTGGTGCAGACCTGTTCTGAAGCAACATCTAAAGTCCTATCTAAAGAGGCCTATTGGCCTACTTGACATAGGTTCCGAACATTGCGAGCTCTAGCATGTAGTTTGGAGAGGTATCAAGGAACCAGGAATATTTAGTTAAATGATGACGGGTTTTTGAACTACTTGTTTTGCGAACGTGTTTATAGAGAGTCAATAAATATTCATTTTGCGCCGGCCTTTTGTGTTTACCTTCCGTCCCGGGAACTGTAGTGGTTCCCATTACTAATTGTAAACCCAATGTAAAAATGTCACACTGGGAGTAAAACTAATGTTATGGAACGTTACACTGATTTAGAGAAAATGTGAACTTGTCCCGAATTATCACAAACCTCTCAACAGAGAAACAGGTAAGCCCAGTGGAGGCAACGTTTATATATATCTTTGAATCTTATCAATTCATACGACTCTTAATTCGCTCGCTCACATTCACATTTCTGTTCGAATTCCCTTTGCGTGCTTGTCACTTAGTGATCTACTCAGTTCAATAATAAACTGTAGTCAACGCTTCGTATTGTCTTCTGAGATGTATTCACCGTTGGGGTTATTTAGTAACAGTTATCAGAATGAGTGATATACGAAGCCTTAGGAATTATCTCGAAGATAGTCCGCTACAACATGTTGGAAACCATTCTCAAACAATACTAATCTTCAAATATTTTTATCCTAACCACTATTATTTGTTTAATCATTAAGAACCTATTTTTGTATACATGTTTTATCTGTTGTATTGTCGTCATTATATTCTAGGAATTATGTCTTAAATCTTTACCAACTATTGGAAGAGCAATGGACTTGACTGTATTAAGAAATTCTCTCATTCCACGAATACAACGTTTATGTTTATCCACAGAATATTTATCTGTAAGTGTCTTAAAAATTTATTGTGATTTATTATCATTATCACCGTTAATATTAGCTAAATAACGAATAATTAAACTACTTCAAGGATCATTGTGTAGTTTACATACTTTCATGTTTTGTGTGGTCAACTTGTAACTAACCTATGCATATAGAATACATTGGATTATAATTGGAACAAATTTATTATAAATGTCCTCAAATAATTTTTCTACTGTTTGTTGCGTTAATTTGGCATACCACTATAATAATAATAATAATAATAATAATAATAATAATAATAAAAAGAAAGGACTTGACACACATGACATTGATCACCACCCAGCGATCAATCAATTGTGACATACTACCCTTATATCTGTTATCATCAACAATATTGATATATCGTTATTTAAATTAAGAACGATAACTGGAAGTGGCTTAGTAATCAGGTATGTTCAACTAGTTGGTGTGTTTGAATCATTCAAATAAATGATAATTAACATTAATTTTTGAATTCCTTCAAAAAAAACAACTAAAGGTTGGACTACAAGAGTAAAATTGTATAAATTCTAATTGACGGATGGAGCTTTATCCATTTTGATAGAAACTGTACTCGAAATCTTAACTAGTTAGAATTTGTTTGTTTTTTATTTATTCAGAAGAATCCTCTATGTCAGTCATCTTGTTATAAGTGATATGCTAAGTTATAGACACTCTTGTGATAAATGTATAAACGTATTTTACGGAACTCTTAATGAATGCATATCTGAATAAGGTTGATGTGGTTTCTAAAAAGTTATTTTTACATAACAGTAGATCGCTACAGTCAGATATAAGTTACAGTCAATATAGCTTGTATAACAAATACTTTACCCAAATCCAATCATCGTGTCAAGGTAGCATCTATGATGGGAATCTGACTTTCAAATTTTAAGATTTCTAATCTTAAGGAAATAAGGCGGTTACAGTAAACTTTCCTGTTATAAATATATTTTTTACCAAAGGTCTCCAAACATCTGATGAATTTGAATTTCCTTACCGTTCTGTCAGAATACTGTTGAACGCTACCGAAGATTATCCCGTCAGTTATAACCAACATATAGCCCAACAGATATGTGTATCAGCTGAAGTTACCACACCGCATCAGCAAAGCGCGATGAAATTAGCCAGACAATAATTAGTGTAGTAGTAGCAGTAGTAACAGCAATATTAGTAGTAGAAAAGATTAGGCCTATACAATGTCATGATAAGTTTAAAACTTATGGTCCAAGGAACAACAAAGAATGAATGCTTCTGCACCATTGAAATCGATTCTGAGTTATGTCACTCAGTGTCTCGAAACATGAGGAACGAAGATTGTGTGGATCCCAATCTCAAGTGGTGCTATGTTCTGAGAGATTACAAGTTCACCTGATCTGAGAACGGAACGAAAACTCTTTGACACAATGACAGATAAGCTAGCTATTCCATCGCGACCCAGCCCAGCTAACTAGAGAGAGAAGTTCAAGTAGAGGGAAATATATTCCAAAAGCAGCCAGAAGCACGAACGACAACAAGCACAGATCAAGCGTATATATCCATCAAAATGTCCTTGGGAAGCGTTACAAAATAGCATAATAAAAGATACAACGAACCGGTAGCGTTTAAGATCCTCCCAAGTGGGAAATACGACATGAAGGTAAAAATTCAAATTTTTAAAATAGAATTACAAAAATAAGGTATTTACCAAGTGAGTTCTGGGATCTGACATCCCCAACAAGTAGGCAGTCAACACCTACATATATGACTCAGTCCAATAGTTAATGAGTTCACGGACTAATACCCCTAGCTTTCTTCTAACCTGCTCCTGCACCAGACCACATTGCATGCGAGATACACGGTGATAGGACGTACATAATACATGTCCCAACAGCCTCAGTTGATGAAGACTCACCAATCGATTCACCATCTTTGCTCAGTATCCTGTGTCTAAACTCAACATGCTCACTCGGTGGTCCCAACATATGCGAGCTATAATCCGAAGGGATCTGTGATCAAACATTAGTTACCTACGTATATCTTGCACTTTTAAAGTGTACTATTCTAAGCCATTAAGCAGGACAGAACGAACTACTGCTCAGTATACACGTCCGTCTGTTGATAAACAGAAATCTCTCCTACTCCACAGGTGACAAGTTGGCACTGTTCGTATGCCGTCTAACTATGAAGCAGTCACTAACAATACTTACCAATTTCTTCTGAAAATACCAGTTAGGTCTTATGATGATTTTAGTTAATGAAGTCCTTGTAAATCGCTCTAAGCGTCTCATCACGTGAAACTTACAAAATAAAAGCTGTAAAAGTCAGTGATTAGTTCCTAAGATAGTGTTAAAACCATATACAAAATAAACCTATCATCATCTCAATTCACAATGTTTCATTTAACTGTCTCATTGATATGTAAAACTGACCAATGACAAAGTTATTTGTTAACATGTAGCAACTAAATAACCTACCTAATAAGTTTTTTCATTTGATATCAAACATTTGGACTATTATTTTGATTGGTCATTCAACTACACTCTAGTGTTAAATACTCCACTTTATATGTAAACAATGGTGTGTATTTTGTCCCATTATTTTATGTAATTTCACACACTACACACCTTTGGATGTATAGATACGTATATTCTATGTAAAATATAAATCGCATGAACAAGTATTAGGTTCTGCTGAACTAGACAAAATTCACCAGATTCATATTAAAACATTATGTCACTCCTCTAATCGATTGTTGTAAGCCAGTAAAAGTGTTACATTCGTTTTCTCTCTGACTATTCAGTTTCCTTAATGATATTGCACTGGGTCATATTGCATTTGCTGCTGAAATACAGTCACGATCACAGGTACGCCTTGCTGACAAGCGTCATTTAGTACGAAACCCAAGTCAAAGGTTTCATACCTACCATATTCAACTACCTAACTTCTGAAAAGAGTTTGGGTGATACTGAGTCACTTAGCCTGTCGACTACGTTGCAACTTAATCTATGGAATTCGATCAGCACTAAATGACTGGACAAGCATGACATTAGCCACTACTCAGTGATCAATCAGTTATATATAATGCGTAATTCATCTTTTAAATCAAATGAATTTCAACTAGTGTGACTCACTAATTAGGTACAAATTCGTGTACCACACTTTGTTGTATATGAGATTATTAGGTACGCTGACCGAGTACAGTAGTCCAAACTAGTATAGTGAGATTTTAAGCTAAAACCCTATTGGTTGCATACCGGGTGTCTTAAATATTACTCTATGGATCTACAATCGAATAATCACGTATCCTTTGTTTGGTTTTTCTGCTCTCTGATTACGGCTTTTATTGTACTCCCACTTATCGACATCATAATTTTATTCTCTCCCCTCCCCTCTCTCTCTGCTACTTCTGTGATGAAACTAACCACTCTTATCAATATATTATAAGTTAATTAACGGATTGATTCTAAACCGATAACTACTGTCAATTTATTTTCTATGAATTGTTTTCTAATGAATCTATTACGTTAAAGCATTAGGTAGACTAGATATTATCATTCTGTATGTAGTTAAAAAGAACATTTATGTATTTCATGTCCCGCTTATTCATTTCTTCTATAATATTTATTAAACGTTGAAATGTGTGGCAAGCAGAACCAAGGGAATCTTTTATGTATCCATATAGAGACTAGTTGATTAGTACCACTTTCCGTAATTATTCAACGTTCTCTGTAGTCTATTTCCTATATATGATAAGCTGTTATTGATCTAAATCTCCAAACTCATTAAATTTTTGATATAGTACAATCCCCGCTTGCTGTCATTGATATCGTTATACTTCAGATGTCTTTAACTTCACAGGTCACAGCTTTCCATCGAAATTTTAAGAACTGTATCCCAAAACTAGTCAATGATGAGTATATGGTTATTTTAATTATTATTGTTATTATCATTATCGAGGAGTAATTTTTGTAGAAACATTCTTATGATTTGTATTTAATTTTCATGACGAACTGATGTTAGCTAGAAAACCACTGGGAACTACGATGCCCTGAATATTTATTATGATCTAATCCTAAACCTTTTACAATTGTGAGCACCACGACCCCAGATGAGATGGGATTCACATTTTAAATAGATACTCTAGCTAACGTTATTTGTTGGTTGAAATTTTCTGTAGATTGTTCTTTATTTGTTTAACCCATAAATCTAGGTCCTTATATATATCATCCACTTTCGTTTCATTGTAGACACGTATGAATTGTCTTCTCTGCATTGGAAAATTACTAGATCATTTAGACAAATGGATTGTAATGGATGATATTCTTCCATTTTTACAACAAATTAAATCACGTGAACCAACTGTTTTGATAGCTATACTGGGCAAGTTCACTATTTCTTTTAAAGCTAATAATTGTTCTTTTTAAACTATATTCATCGAATTGTATATCTATTGGATTGTTCAGTGTATCAAACTCTTTTTCTGCAGAGTTTCATGCTGGTTGGTACTCATCTGTGTGAACTGGTGACTTCCATGGGATTCATATGTTACTCCATCTGGCTCCCTATGAGCTTTGTGGATCGTGACTGACTTCATATAGAACTGACTTGGTTAAATTAATCGATCTCTAAGTATTAAGCATTACCAAGTTTTCCGGTCTTAAGTGTTAAAGGAATTCTATCTACTGAATTGTAATGCGGCCATCTCAGTAAATGACTTAAAATCGTACGTCGGGTAGTCTTTACATTCTCTAAATGCAATACTCTTAAAATCTATTTGTACACCTACTAAAAGATCAGTATACTGTTCAGAAGTTCCCTCTATATTACCTCGTGACCATTCAGTCAGTCAGTCAGTCAGCTACAACGTAGGACCAGGCACATGTATGCATCGGCCCAGGTTGCCATACCTCATTAGCACAGCAAGATGAACACCGGATTCATAGGAGTGGTTAGGTCAAAGGTGGTAATATATAGGAGAAAGATTGCAATAAGGATATAGTATAGGAAGAAAGAATTAGTTCGTAGAAAGAAAGATGTGAAGTGATCTTAATCTCTTAGTTTAAGAGAAGACAGAGAGTGTATACACCGACGCCATTGTGATCGATTCTGAGCCATGTCACCAAGGGTCTCCAACCATTGGTTACGAAAGTCACGCGGACCCCAACCAAGTAGTCTGCATCTACCAACATGGCTCAGACTAGAAGTTAGTGACTTCAGGCACTGATGCCACGTTTTGGTTTGGCCGCCCCTAACTTTCTTCCAACCATCCCCTACACCGGTTAGCATTGCACGTCGCGGTAATCGGTGTTCAGGCATACGTAATACGTGGCCCAACCATCTCAGTCGATGAAGATTCATAACCTCATCAACTGATTTACCATCATTCCCTAATACCCTGCGTCTAACCTCACTATTACTTACCCGGTGATCCCAGCAGATGCCAGCAATATTTCTAAGGCATCTGTGGTCAAATACTAGTAGCTTACGGGTGTCTTCTACTCTTAAGGGCCATGTTTCGCTGCCGTAAATTAAAACAGAACGGACAGCCGCGCAGTATACTCGTCCTTTTATTGATAGACGGATATCTCGCCTCCGCCAAAGGTGACGTAAGTTGGCAAAAGCCAAACGAGCTTTACGAATCCGTGCTGAGATTTCGTCAGACACCAACCCATTAGGGCTGATCAGACTTCCAAGATAAGTGAAGTTGTCAACGCGTTCGACTACTTCACTCCCTATCCTTAGTTCAGGTGTTGACGCAGACCAGTCCTGAAGCAACAACTTGCATTTAGAGGGAGAGAAGCGCATCCCAAACATTCTGGCATTGTTGCTTAGTGCTACCAGAAGACTCTGCATTTTGTCAGCGTCTTCACCAAACAGGACTATGTCATCTGCGTATTCTAAGTCGATAAGTGGACCTCCTGGAAGGAGATCAATACCCGAGAATTCAGTCGACGAGAGTGTTATTTCCATCAATAGGTCTATGATGAAGTTAAACAAAAATGGAGAAAGTGGGCAGCCTTGACGGACACCACTTGAGGTTGCAAAAGTAGATGACAGTTCGCCATAAGCCCTGACTCGACTAGTAGTGTTCGAGTAAAGAGCCTTCACAAGGTTTATGTACTTCTGAGGTACGCCTTTCAATGACAGACACTGCCACAGAGTCTCGCGGTCTACAGAGTCAAATGCTGCTTTTAAGTCAAGAAAGACCACCATCGTCGGACGCCGATAGGTATGCCTGTGTTCTAGAACCTGACGAATGGTGAATATGTGGTCGATGCAGCCACGACCAGGTCTAAAGCCAGCTTGGTTCTCTCGTGTTTGTAGTTCACGAGTCTTAGTTAGGCGTTTGATAATTATCGAGGCCAGTATTTTAGATACTATGTTTGTTAAACTAATCCCTCTGTGGTTGTCACAGGATGATTTTGACCCTTTCTTATATATTGGGACGATAAGTGATTGCGACCAGTCAGATGGGATAACGTCTAACTCCCAGATCTTAGCTAAAATATTAGTCAACCTAATCGCTAAAATTGGACCACCATCCTTAAAGACTCTGGAGCCAATCCATCTGGACCAGCTGCCCTTCCTCGTTTCAGATTAACTATAGCCTTCTCAACTTCAGCAAGAGTTGGGGGACCTACTTCAATGTTCCATTCACTTTGTCTGGGAATGGAGGGTAGTTGTAGAGTAGCTGAAGGCCAGCTGAACTGTTCTCTAAAATGTTCCGCCCATCGTTCTAAACGTCTGGACTGGGAGCAGATGAGAGTATCATCTTTTTCCGAAATAATCTCACTTACACTTGACTTATTAATTCCAGTTTCTTTTATTAGTCTGTAAAGCTGTCTTGTGTTCCCTATAGTCGCCGCCTTTTCCATCTCTTTTGCTTTCGTTACCCACCACTGCTCACGGTCGTTCCTTAGACTTTTTCTTAACCTAGATCTGATTTGTTTACGCTCTTCATCATGTTCAGAACCTGATGGGACGAGTTTGCGAGAATCCATCAGTGTGACAGACCTTGAAGAAATCCACTGGTTCCTTGTAACTCTGTGGTTTAAGTCACTAATAGATGTCACTGCTGTTTCCACAGCTGCTTGTATGCCCTTCCAAGCAACATCTGGGTCAGCCTCGTCTTCACAACTACCTAAGTGTGACCTCAGTTGTTCCTGGAACCTACTTTTGGTTTTCTCGTTACTCAACTCAGTTCTAATGGGTCTTTTTAATGTGGCTTTTTTGCGTCCAGTGAGGCGCAAGCAGATGCGTGCCCGTATTAGGGCATGGTCGGAGTCCAAGCAGGTACTCCAGAATGAGCGACAATCTTCTACCGACCCTCTCCAACGATGACTGATGGCAATATGGTCTATTTGAGTCCATCGTTGGTTTGGTGTAGGGGGTCGCCATGTTAGACGATGTCTCTCCTTATGCTTAAAATTTGTGTTTGCTAAAAATAAACGATTGTCTGAGCATAGCTGCAGCAGACGATCACCATTATCTGTTCGCTGTGTCGGAATACTAAAATATCCACCTAAATGCCTTTCTGTTTGGTTTAAACTGCCTATCTGAGCATTAAAATCACCTGCTACGAGTACTATGTCTGAGCGTTTAGCTTTCTGAAGAAGTTCGGACAGCTTTCTGTAAAATTCATCTTTCACTTCATCTGAGCTGCAGTCAGTGGGAGCGTAGGCAGAAACGACAAAAAGGCAACGACGTGTGTCCCTATCCTTCCGAGTTCTTACGTAGCCGTTCAGCCGAACAGCACATAGACGACTGTTGACGGGGATCCACTCTAGCAGTGCTTGTTCGGCCCTCATGCTTAGTGCTATGCCTACACCTGCCAGTCCACGAGAACTTGCCATCGGGTCACCAGACACACGAAGGGTGTATCTCGTTGGCTCTCCGTCTTGCCGAGGTGAGGTCAAGTGAATGACCACACTGGAATCCTGTATGCGTGTTTCGGAGACACAGCATACATCAATGGAAAGAGACTCTAGGGTTTTAGCCAAGGAAGCCTGCTGACCGATTTGACATAGGGTGCGTACGTTGAAGGCTCCAATGTGTAGTTTGGAGCGAGGTTTCAGTAGACCTGGGACAGTGTTTTGCGCACTAGAATCGTTGGCTACGGTGACACTTGAGGTGGAAGCCGAGAGAGGAAATATAGAGTTGAAAGTCGATGTAGGAGGAATAATAGGAATTGAAGAGGAGGTTGATTATGAATACAGTGGTCTTGAGTGCTGTTAGAAGTATGAGGGCGGTTATCACTTCCCGGTTGCCCACACCGTGGAAGGGTTGTTCTGGAGGTACCTGAAAAGGAAATTGGATTAGAGGTGGTCTTAGTGACCTGAGAGCGTGACCGCAGTGCCCAAGGGACAACTGCTTGAGGTCGGTCACACACGACCTTGTTATGGGTAATTTTTGTGTTAGCTCCGTACTTATTGAGACCTTACCGCCGGAGACGGATATCCGTGGGATAAGGCGAGGTGTGCATTTTTAGGGTCGACCTTTTCTAACCCCACCCCTCCTTGTGGGAAGGCAGCATCGCTGTCATGCTGGTTGTCTGAAGGAAACACCTTACTGCTGTCACACCTCTGTACAGTCAGCAGTACGACTTCGCCTTCGGACCTTGGGTTTGTTGCTTTTAGTCTTACCGCTCTTCAACCGACCTGTCTGACATGGTAGGACCTTGAGGAACGGTTGTTCCAGCCAGTATAGCTCGGTTGCTTCATCACGATAGGCAAGCCCGACCACCACGTCAAGGTAGCAACAACGGTCGGGAAAGGTAGCAACAACGGTCGGGTCGTGACCATTAAATATCTTTTAAGGTTTAAGAAAACCATAGGTTGTTAGTATTTGACTGTTGATGCCTTTAAAATGTCTGTAGCGTATGGTAGAATCAAGTAAGTAAAGCTAGGGTTAAGTAAATTGGATTAGTTAAATGTAGTAAACCGAATGAAGAAGCCTTTATCCTAGATCTACTGAGGTGATTTAAAGTTGTGTTATAGGTGAACCCACGTGCACTCCTAAATAGTAAAGAAACAGCTTGGAAAACTGTTTGTTTCAACCAAACCTAGATAGTAAATTTGCTCATGAAATCATGAATTGATCAGTCATTTTGAAAAGTGAGATATTTCGTTTGGGTCCTCATAGTAATTTTATACAATAATTGGAGACTTTAGATCATATCTTTTTCATTCAATCACTCTGTAGCTTATTTGCATTAACACTTTATCATTGTCCAACTTACTTTACTTAGTAGATCTCCAAGTTTCAACCCCGTATAACTATCTTGACTTTCGTATTGAGGATTCTAGCTTTGATGTTGGCTGACAGTTGTTTTGAGTTCCACATGCTTTTTAATTGTAAGAGCTCTGTCCTTGCTTTGGCAATCCACAACTTTATATCTTCATCAAATCCTCCTTGTTCATCAATGATGCTGACCAGGTATATGAAAGTTTCCACATCTCATCTGGTGATTAGCGAAGTTCAAATCTTCCAGTTGATTCCTTGCTTTCCCACAAATGTCGAGGTCCTCATAATCCAGTCGACCACCAAAAGAAATAGAAAGGGGGAGAGTAAGCAGTCTTGCCTGACTCCAGTCCTCATTTTGAATGCATCTGTCGGCTTTCCTCCATGCACAACTTTGCACTGTAGTTCATCGTATGAATTCTATACGATGTTGACGATCTTCTCAGGCAGTCCATAGTGTCGAAGAAGTTCCCACAATGTCTTGCTACCCACACTGTCAAACGCCTTCTCATAGTCGAGAAGGTTGATGTTTAGTGACGAATCACATCTAATTGATTGCACAATAATGATCCGTATTGTCGCGATTTTGTCTGTGCACGACAGATCCTTACGGAATCAGGTCTGCTGATCTCGAAGTTGGGCGTCTACTGAGTCTTTCATCCGGTTCAGCACCAATCTGTTGAAAACCTTTCCTAGTACTGACAGTATTGTGATACCTCTGTAGTTCTCAAATTTTCTCAGATCTTTTTTCTTTGGTATCTTGATGAGGTATCCTTCTTTCCAGTTTGCCAGTGGCACTTGTTCCTCCTAAATCTTTCTAAATAGAGTGTGAAGCACGTCCTCAGTTACTTCGACGTCTGACTTCAGCGCTTCAGCTGGTATGTTGTCAGCTCCTGTTGCTTTACCTGATGACCATCCTGGTTTTTTCGATCATTAGTGGGGTGACATTTATAGGGACGTCTGTGTGTGGTGCTTCGACGTGTGGTCGGTTCAGTGGGGCGGGTCTATTCGAGAGGTCTTCAAAGTGTTCTATCCACCTTTTCTCCTGTTCTTGAATCTCATTGATTGGCTTGCCTTCTCTGTCATTCACTGGTCTCTCTGGTTCATTATATTTCCGTTCCAGTTTCTTATTCGTCTCATATGGTTGTCTTATATTTCCTTCTCTTGAAGCTTTTCCTGCTGTCGCTGCTATGTCTTGTCGGCTCTAATGCTATTCTTCACTATCTCGTTTGCTTCTTTATATTCAGCTTGTGCTTTGGCCCACACTGCTCTTGTTCGGCTGTTGTTAATTGCTGTCTTCTATTCTTCTTTTCTTGAATCTTGCCCAGGGTTTAGATAGAGATTCATTCTTTATAATGATGCTTCTTGCGACCCAACACTTTGTAACACGTTGCAATTTGCATACATGAATCATCAGACCAAAAAGAACCCCAAATAAGAAGTCATTTTTTATTCATGATATGACGTGATGAAAAGTCAAAATTATATTGATCTACTCATTATGATTTTTATTCAACATTAGTTCCATTTTAATGCGATTTATTGATTAATTAATGTATTATTAGTTTCTTTTATCCCGTATGACATTTTATCCGGTATATCATAACAATATTCTTGTATTAAATTAACATGAACTATACTCAGCATATGATTTTTTATAACCCTAAGTATTTATCATATATGTGATTTCATCCTAATTATTAATCAAAAATGGGTGTATGAATCAATATATAAATGAGTGTGTTTTCAACTAGACTTGTCGTGGTTGTTCGTGCTTACCTCTTCCAAACTTAGACTTCTCTCTCTAGTTAGCTGGGCTGGGTCGCGATGGAATATCTAGCTTATCTGTCATTGTTTCACAGAGTCTTCGTTCTGCCTTCAGATTAAGTGAACTGGTAATCTCTTCAAACATAACAATTCACAACCAAGTCATAAGTGACCGTATATAGAGCAAAAGGTGAATCGTTAATTAGCATTAATTAATGAATAGTAAAATATGTAGCAATAGTTAGTGGGTTCAGTGGAAACTTACAATATAGTGTATATACAGATATAATTTAGTTACTTAAAAATTACGGAGTAAAAATGTAAATAATTACTCAACTTAAAACAGTCCCAAAAGTTACGGTTACTCCAATATTCGCTCCGTTCAAACACCAACCCCGATAAACATTGTTGATACATTAAGTCTCTTCCTACAATCATCACTTTATCTCGGTTTTATGCTAAATAATACTAATGTACATAAATACTGAAACTTTGTTTGCTAACTACAGGTTTCTTTATGTTTGTCTCTTCCCCCACCCTATTATACAGGTATATATCGCTTAGCGTTTAGTCATGAAAAACTGGGCATCAGTCGAGAAAAACTAGCTAATAAAGTATTGCCTTATCTTATCCCATTATCCATCGAAAGCAGTTTAAATTTAAAGCAATACAGCGCTTATGCATCATTAATACGAGATATGTGTTCATATTTGGAACGTGAACAATATGCTAAATTAGAGCAATTGCATGGTGCTGCAACTGATGAGGACAGGTAAAAAAAAAAGAAGAATATATTTGGATTTTATCCGAATTTATGAATTGAAAGTAATTTTGACCATTAAACATTGATGTATCATTTACATAATTAGCTAAAAAACCAAGGCATACGAACTGCTTCTAGGTCGAGCTCGTTAGAGCCTCTGAGAATCCTTCGTATTTTAGCATCATTTACACAACGTCAAACCCTTGTAATCAGTCATTTTAATGTTAACCTGTTTTCTTCAACCTCATTGTGTTATGTTTGTTCAGTATTTTTGGTTTAATCAGTTATCAGAGCTCTTGAAAATATCGAAATCTTCACATTATTGAGTAGTTTCTATAAGATAGTATTCAGTGCATCATAGGTCTTAGTGATTATTCCATATAAATACTGGTAAATTTATATCTCTAACTGGTTAGGATCCTAGTTTTCTTACACATTCCTTCATCAGTCACCAGAGATGCAGCAATCAAACTCGTGATTTATAATCTAGTTCAAGTATGTTATTTTCGTCCACTTGTAATGAACGAGAACTCAGGTGGGGAAAACCAATTTATTGTTGAATACAAATTACAGATTGCCTTCGTAAAATATGAAAACCATACAATATATACATTATTTGCACATTTTCTCTGAGTTTTCCTTTACATGCTTAATCATTCTTTCAATTCTGTTGTTATAACAGTTTCTCTCTGTTTGGATTCTTGTTCTCTTCAATTGGATCTTATCAATCTTCTGCTGACAGGCATTCCACTTCTGATTGGTGTTACATACTACTTATATCTGTCAACATAAGTAGCATACACTACAGCAGATAAACTATAATTAAAATTACTACGTTCTTCAAGCCTAATAGCATGATAGAAAAAGGCTTAATTAAATATGAATAAATTATATATTGTTGATCAATGAAATAGGACATTGTTAATCATACTGTTACATAGTTGGAATAATTCTTTTTCTTGTTAGTTCACATCAATTAGCTAAATCATTCGACCAATTTTCCATTCTAATGTACATCAACAGGTTGCAGCTTTTGTTAGATACTAATGATTTTTCAGTTAAAACTTAAGTACCTTCTAATGATTTTGCTGTTCAAATGAATATAAAGTATTTAAGGAAGAATGCAATTGCACATTTTAGTTAGTGCATTTCATATCACATTAACAGTGACTGTGTGTTACTTTTCAGTTGTTTATTTTACAACTATAACTTTACGAGCAACAACCTAGAATATCGTATATTTGTTTCAGGCTCTATGTTGGTTCTAACTTTCTCTTACAATGAATATTTTTGTCTCTTCCATATTGACCATGTTTATACTTCTTTCTCCCCTACTTTATAGCATGATAAGAATTGGTAATATCGATGAAAGTGTCTGGGCCACATCCAATTCCTGTTCAGATTTGGTAAGTTCGTTCTATAGAATTTAAACTACAGTCAGTGTTTTCAGTCATGTGTTTTTCGAATTTTAGTATTCGTCACGGACTACGGATCTCAAGTGTTCGCTAATAGATTCAGACTCTACATCAATATGTACTGATGACCTGATTCGAGTTCAAATCTGTTACGACTGGTATGCATAATGTTTGGAAGATCTTTTTATATGATCTCTACCTGTATGTGTAGTACTATACATGGTAGTGCTTTCAACTTTCATATGTAAAAATACGATGCCATTATTCCATTCATAATATGAATAAGCACATTTTACATTTCAGTTTGTCAGTAACAATGTATGTGATCCATGTAGGCTCGCTTTGCTTCCAAAGCATGTGAACGGGACATTCGTATTTGCTTCATACTCATTAGGATCAGTATGCGGCTGCATTCTACGTACAGGTATATTGATATTGGACTGACTTTGAGTTGTTGAAACATGGTTTACCTTTTTGTATGTGACATTCACGTTGTCCGAATAAGCAAGATAAATATCATAAGATTCGCTGGGTATTTGTAGATGACTATAACGAATACTGGAATCTGATGATTGCTCATCAAACAATTTCCCCAAAACACGGTTTGATCATACGTAATATTTTTGGCAAGATGAAATTTCACACAGTTTTTATCTTCATTTGACCTCATTTTCCTAAGGTAATCATGAACTTTTAAGCCAACGTCTAGTTCAGCCGCTTTCATCTTACATAAATCCTCATTTCTACCACTACAGGCATCAAGCCTTACCCCGAATTTCGGAGTGTTAGACTTGGGGACTAAATTCAAATTTTTCTACTGTGTGAACATCACTCCTGGGCATTCTGGTTTCGGGACTGCTTCACAAATACTTTTTATATCAAATCATTTGTTATAGCATTGAGTGAAGATTCTACGTGACATATATAAGGTATGAGATCACCCAATATCTACAATAACATCTGAAATGCTATTAAAATGTGACTCATTTAAAACGTATTTCTCACAATAACTATGAGTGAATGGATTGTGAGAATAAATAACATTTGATATGAGACCATCAAAACTATAATTAGATTTGAAACCATTGAGGATTTGTGTTTCATATTGACTAAGGTCTTCACTAGAAACAAATACATTGTGAGAACAAGCAACATTTGTTATGATATCGCCAGAATTTGATTCATTTGAAATATTTTTCTCAAATTCATTAAGGACTTTATTAGAAACTAATGAATCACTAGGATAGTCAGCAGCTGATATGATACCATTAGAAATTTAATAAGAAATTGATTGACTCACAATGATTTTGAATTTCATTCGACGTAACCGGATAATTAGAATGAGATGAATCTGATAAACGAACCTTTGAAAATTGCCTAGAGTTAACCTTATTAAAGGATTTGTTGACCTCTTCAATCACAAAACTGTTCCTTATTGCAGCAGGAAATGTACCAGTTATGTCGGTAAAATATATCTACAGTTTTTAAGTCTAATTACAGATTTGATTATTTACGCATATGTTCCTTCAATGCACTGATAAGCATTAAATGAGATTTGATGAACACATCTTTACTAAACTGATTTTACTTCTGCGACTGAAATTGACATGTTCTTATACCACTGACCGCATCGTTTATTGTAACAGCGACTTGATAAATGAAAGCAGAAGTATATTTATAACTGAGGAAACAGGATTTGGTTTAAATTGAACTGAAATCTAAGTTACAATTGGAACCAGACAGTTATACTAAAAACTGAAACTTGTAAATTGACCCTGTCACCAATTGTCATAACTGATCGTCGTTAATTGTTGTCAGAATCGCTTATTATTTATACTTGGAAAAAAACGAGGAACCACTGCAATTCCCACGACGCGAAATAAGAACAACAAGACTGGTACAAATGAAGATTTATTCACTACAAAACATGATGACAACTCTAGTCGAAAATACACTCATTATTATATATTGGTTTGTACACCTATTTTGATTATTATTTAGAATATCCAGAGCTATAACAAACCACATGCTACATGTCATGCTGAGTACAGTCCATGTTAACTGAATACAAGAATATTGTATCTTAAACAAACATTACACTCAAGTATATTAATGTTATACCGAATAAATTGTCAAAGTGGAAAAAAAAAACATTACACTGAATAATCATCGAATTGAATTTAAAGAAAAAACGGAAATGTTGTGCAAAAATCACAACGAGTAAAAGTATGAAAGTTTGCCTTTTCAATCCTGTCATACAAAAACCCAGAACGTTTAAGTCTCACATTGAACATGATACTTTCTAACCATTAATTTAGAGTTCATCCATTGATTTCAATCTGTAATTTCAGCAGAAATTGAAAGATTGCAACAATTATCCCGTGTCATCTGTAATATTTTTATCTCGCATTCCCAATACTGTTAAATTCCAATAGTAGTCACGACGATAGAACTCAAAAGAACTTTACAGTATTAAAATAAAGAGAACTCAGCAAAAAAAAAAATATCTTTTCGATGAAAACATTCACTTAATCTGTACATCCGTATTTATAGTTCGATAAAAATATGCCTATAGACAAATAGAGATTTCTTCTTCGATTTACTCTCAATGTGCACGTTAGATTTAATAATAATTTCTATAGATAAACTGATGGAGTTACAATGAAGTCATCAATGGTCCCTCTCTTGACTAATCTGGAAAATACGGTACTTCAACCAATAATTGAGAGATTTCATTTATAAGGGAGATACATGGATAACACTTTCATTATTTGTAAATAAAATATGGATCTCAACGAAACTTTGAATCAATTCAATAAATGTCATCACAAAATTGAATTTACATTGAAAGCATAGGCAAAAAATGAATTTCATCTCTTTGTTGTCCTGTTGTAACGAAAAACAGTTGGTTCTTTGTAAAGACTTATCTATAAAAAACCAACCTGGAATGGTCAGTATACGAATTTCCATAGCTGAGTCCCATTGGGTATAAAGAGAAACCTAATTCACACTTTATCTTCGAGGACTAGAAGTATATGTTCTCATGACACAAGAGATGACGAACTACTTCAAATTCGACAAACACTCGTTAGAACTGGTTATCCACCGAGATTCCTCTATGCGAACTTAACGCCAAGGCGTCCTGAAAGAGCACTGATAATTCAAAATAAAACTTTTAATGAATATCGTATTTAGAGGAGATATGGCTGTTGAAATCTTAAATTAAGGACTTCAAAATCCCGGAATAAAACCCATTCAGCTAAGCTTCGTATTGTGTTCTCATGACGGCCTAGCATTCACGATTGTGTTAAGGTTTAACCTCCGTTTTAAGCCACATCAATGTGCATCTATAAATTTATTTGCTGTTATGGGGCAGGTTACATTGGCCGCACAAAGCGATCACTTTCCAAACACGTTTCATAATATCACCCGAGATGGCTTTTAAAAGGGGAGTGCGCAGATTAAAACAGAAGCACCTGATCAACTCTGGGCACTTTGCTCCAAAAGAGTCGTCTTTTACAGTCACAAGAATTGTATCAAAAGGATATTGAACCAAAAAGTCATACACTGCTCGGGCGTTAGTGACCCACCAATTCAAGCTTAAGCTTCGCGTAGAAAAGCTGTACGTCCCACCTCTGATCCTTCCTTGGTCCTAATTCCCTTCTACAGTATGTTTTTTATCCTGTATTTTTTAAACTATTACTTACTTACGCCTGTTACTCCCAATGGAGCATAGGCCGTTTTTAAACTATAATCAGTTATTATTTTCCTCGAACAATATTTCATGCTTACTATTCAATTGTTATTGTGACCTATATGTTTCTCATTTTTCTTCATATCGTTCAAGTGGACAATTTTCTCTAATATTTCTGATTTGTAAACTATTTTCATCCCTCTATATCTTCTCTAACCCCTTGACCATTACACAACCTCCTTTTGATATCTTAAATCTTAAATCACCGTATGATGCAATCTCTTCCGTTTTTCTTGTAGACTATATTTCTCAAACAACTATAAATGCAAATAAAAGCTTAATTAAATGATTTCATCGAAAAGAAAATTTCCACTGAATTCTTTTCATGTTTACTTTATGACAAAATGGGTAACTAGAGAATGTCGTATGATGAGTTAATCTTCAGTAGAGGTTAGTAATGCAAAAACTATTAAAATTACAAAGGATCATAGTGGTAAAATAAAAGTTATAATATTAGTTTACCAAATCTTTAGAAGATTTCTTATAAAGTCTACTAAGAAGTTAAGTGATCTGTCTGATTGTTTTACACAGAGTAGTTTTTTGACATTCAATAGCTAGTGATTTATCCTCACTATATAATTCATAATTTATCCTCATTATTGTCAAGTTGATTGTTGCAATCAATTAATTAAGTATATTTTGTTCATTCTGTTTGGAAAATAATAAGTTGTCGGATTGTTTACATCAGTTGAATAAGCACTAAGAATTGTGGGTTTTAATCTAAACAAAATGAAAGGGTAGGAATTACTGTTCTTCGTACTCTTAGACACCTATCTGTTCAATGGAAAGCCGTGGTCGGTGAGGAATCCTCAAGCGTATTGAAAGTGAGACAACTATAGCTATTGAATGATCACGTTGAATAATCACTCCACTATGTATACAATGAATTGAAGTTAGAACTGTTCACTACCAGATTCCTAATTGTATAGAAGAATTATGTTCAACTGAGTTTACACGGTTTGAGATTCTCCTCGTTCTTTGTTCAATTTGTTATTTTGCCTCACCTCTCATCAATGTTAGACCATTCATTGTCTATAAAATTAGCGAAGTTAACTATTATGCCTAGCAAAATTTGAATATAAACACAGAGGTTTTCTTCGGTTTGTACGATTCGTGAATTCTAATATATTGAGACAGAATGAACCAAAATGGTTAATCCTACTAAAGATGAATGAACTATATGGAAGTTGACCAAGAGGATTTTTCTAAAATTGAATTGCTTGACTGGGATTTTAAACCTTCATTCACCAACAAGACTTTTTTTTATTTGCCTGAGCTGTTGAACAAACATTTTAGAATATTAGCACGCTACCTAATAGTCAGATCATTGTGTGAAAATTAAGATTTTTTTTGTGGCGCTAAAATTTTGATCTAAACTTTCTACTTTTGCTTTGTCTTGTTACTGTTTCCATGAAAACAACTTTGTTCTTGGACTACTGTAAGATCCTGATTAAAGTCATTTAGGTGGATAATAATTTATGCATAGTCGATAATTACTAACACTTTGAAACTAAAATACTAATATTTGAACGAAGAATATCATTTTCGATAAATTCTCTTCAGGTTCTAAAATATATGTGTTAAATGAAATTTTAAGATCCATGGTCAGAATAAATATGGGTCAAATAGGGTGAGAGAGAAATAATAGTGCAATTACAATTCGATCAAATAAGTAAGACGTAATACGGAGGGATGAATGCGAAGTGAATGAATCATGTATAGGGGGGATCAATGATGTTTAACCAATAATACGAATAATACAAAGATTTATGAATAAAGATAACAGGGACAATTACAATTGACTACGAAAGGTCATAGTCAAATTGGGTCATTCAATAGTTAAGATTACGATTGATTAATTGGCCTTGATGTTGGACAGGGGCGGAGGAGTGGCTGAATATATTTATTCTGTACGCATAGCTCCGGTTTCTTCATTCGGATGGCTACTGCTTCAGCCGTTTGAAGGACTTTCAGTCTGACCAGTTTTGGCAAAAAATTACTTGCCTTATAAATAATTGAAAAAGATTGGTTTATACTGGCACTATGACCGGTTTGTACTAAATGGGCCAATATTGAGCTGTTCACCTTCTTCATCAAACCTTTGTTTAACCACGCTGGAAGGTGTTCACGAGCACGGAAATGTAAATTCCTAGAACTTCGACCAATATAACTCGCTCCACAGGAGCAGTTGAACTGATAAATACAAAATGAGGTGGTCATTCTAGGTAATTCATCTTTTAGCTTCGGTGTAACCGTTGGGCGCGTAGAAAATACTAATCGCAGTTCTCCGTCGTTAAAAGACTTGTATTGTCCTACGTAGTCTCTGAGTTAGTATTTCGCTAGCCGCATCCCCTCTGAATTGTAGACGCATGAACAAGGATTTCTTCTTCACTGTTTGTATTTCGCCTTCGTGACCATATATTTAATTATAAACTTTCTAGAGTAGCCGTTCTCCCTGAGAGTATTATGCAAGGTGGTAAGCTCTTGTTCGACTATATCAGAAGAACATATAGTGCGAATACGGTAGCTGAGGTTTTTGATCAAATTTCGTTTGTACTGTAGAGGTACAAAGCTCAGGAAATTCGTATACTGCCCAGTCCAAGTACTTTTTCTGTTTATATTCCTTTTTAACGATCCATCCACTCTCTTAGTCAAGAGAACGTCCAAAAAGGCTATTCGACCATCACTCTCTTCTTCAGATGTAAACTGAATGGCTGGATGCACCTCATTGTTAATTCGTCATTATTCTTAGTTCGATGTTATGGTTTACTGTTTGTATTTATTTATTTTGACTAGATGACTCGAATAATTTGCGCTTATTTGGATGATACTGATCAATACGTAAAACGTAGTTCTGTACCAACAACTTTAACTGTAAATTCAAATAACAGTAACAATACATCGCCTAAATCATCTACAGGAACATCTTCAATTCAAGGAGTCAATGGTTCGATAACCAATGAAAGTACTAATCTAAGCTTAGAACAAAAACGTCAATTAGCTGCTAAACAAGATCAAATTGACGTTTATCGTCTAATTTAACATCAGCACCATCATTACTACAACCTGCTACTGGCGCTGGACCAATGAAGTTGATGACAACGACGACAATGAATAAACCAAAACCTATTGATATAACAAATACTTTAATATCATATAATGTGAATGCAATCAGTAGCACATCTGATATGATGAATAAATCTACTACACAATCAAATCGTATAGGTACAGGCATACCTTTAGCTTTAATCACACCACCAACTATTCAACACCAATCATATGAACAGAACAGTGTTTTCAATAACAATAGCAACTCTCTATATCATCATTCGAATAATAATGTTGAACAGTTACAATCAACTATTTTATCTAATTCAATTATTCCATTCACTAGTAGTAATAGTTGTAACTCATTAAATTCTATACCACTTTATCCAGCAATGTCTAACGTGATGAGACCTGTTCAACAACAAGCTGTTCCAAATGCAATTACATATCAATTATTCCCGACAACATCAATTACAATGCCAACAACAATGCTTAATCAAAATATATCAAATTCTAGTAGTCTAATAAAACCATTATCCAAATGTGACATAGATGATTTATTAAGCTGACAACGAATTCATTATTTTTACAAATGAATAAAACAAGAACACAAGGAATTATTAGTTATTCTCTTTCATATATGTACATATTATCATGTAACTTTAAACATATTCTTAGGTGTAGGCAGATAAGTACGCGGATCTAAGTGTAATGGTCTATGTTGCATCAATACAACTTTTTCTACTCAGCATGTTATTTATAGGTAGATGATATAGGAAGCTATGATAGCTTCTTCATTACCATCACCTCATTTCTATTGTGATATTCTTGTGACTGCCTATGCTGTTTGTATTTTTTATTAATATACTTACTCCCATCATTTTTTTTTCCTACCCGTGTCTGTATTTGGTTTGTGCAAGTATGTGAAGTATTAATGTCTTTCAAATGTGGTTTTGTTTTGTTTTAATCTTCTTATGTGAAAAATGCAATACTTGATTTTTTTTTCAAATAATTATTTGCACGGTGACCGAGTTTGTTTACTTTTTTTCAAGTAATATCTTACCTTGTCCTTTAATTCGGATTTTTTTTGATCAAATATCTGTTATCTTGTAGAGGTTAATTTCTCTATATGTCTGACTTCAATAAACAGTATCCCGTTAACTGATTATTTACTCAGGCTAAATCTCCTTACTAGGAGAATGAATTTACTTGAGATTATTCAAAAGCCAGTACACCAGTTGTAAAAATTGTATATTATTATTGATTAGTAAAACTCCACTAGCACACAGGGAAGCGAGTGTGAGAGTTGAAAAAACCCATATATATATATTTTATGAGTGTTAACTGTTTCTGAATAAATTACTGATTGTCTGTGTTTACAACCATAAGAGAGTAGATAAAGACTGATGTCCAAACATGGAGTCAATCCGAGTCACACATAATTTTACATAGTGGATTAAATATCTAAATTACACTGAGTAGACAATATTTCAATGGGCTTACTATAATCTCTTAAACAAATTATAAGATAGGTTTTTGTAAAATACGACCCTAATAGGACAGAGCATTCTTTCCTCGCTTATAAATATAAACATCGTGATGAATAAGTATCGTTTGTCCGTAAAATAGGGAATCGAATTTATCTAAAAGAAACCTTGACAAAACTGGGTTACTAGACAGTTATTTTGTGATTATTCACGGACTCATTAGCAGTGTACATATAAAACTAGGCTCACAAGACCTTAACCACGACATAATAACTAGAAAATTTAATTTTTTCCTGCTAGGTAACTAAATTAGAGTTTGAATAACAACCACATTGCACTGAGGATTATAATTCAGATAATCTACTTCAAAGTGCACAGACAATTTGCAATACTCCTAAAAGAAAACATTCCGTTAAGTTTGTACCTGCCGAGTTGTATTTCGAATCACTGATAAAAGTTACATTCGAAAGGGATTCAAACTTAACAGATGCCGTTTATCTCGACAACTGCGCTATAGTCCTATCTCACTGTCATCTCAACAGGTTTCTCATTTACAAGACCCCACTGATTTTCCGAAAATTCTCACGTTTGCATGTACATCGCAAAACACCTAAACGGAAGATTATACAGGTATCTTACACATGATCAAAATGTGACTTGTAACGTATAACCCGGGACTTATATACATTAATTCCAGTTATCAAACTATACCAACACAGCGAGATGAGATTATCAGGCCAAACCCCATGGTACAACGATATGGGTAGCCGTAGGAAACATTAGGTACTAAAATATAAGCTTTCAGGAATTAGGGTCCAAAATAAGATAGAGTGAATATATTTACGTTGTTGCGATCAATTCTGAGCAAATCCATCAGCCCACAGGCTGAGGATACAACGCAGAACAGCCAAATCCATGACTTTACTACCTCGCAAACTGGCGTACCATACGTAAAGCCCCTAAATGCTCTGGTACGGCCGAGAGTGGGGAGGGCCCGCCCTCCCTCTCAACTTGGTCGCAGGACAGATAACGGGGACCGTCTACTGCATAGACTAAAACCTGTTTCTGGTTAGCACTAACTTCCGGCACAGTTATCGCCGGTGTGCCTGGCGTCCTCCCTCTGCATCTCAAGCCTGGACTCAGATTGATCACATCGCGATCAGCTCCCGCTGGCGTGATTGTGTAAAAGACTGCCGCTCATTTTGGAGTACTTATCTGAACACTGATCATGCCCTGGGCCACCTTTGGAGCCTTCGTGATGCCAGTCTGGCTGTGAAAGGTCGGACATATAACGCGTCGGTGAGAGCAGTTCTGCGCTATGCTTGTGAAACCTGGCCTCTCCGAATTGAGGACGTTAGACGACTCTCAGTGTTTGATCGTCGTTGTCTCTGAAGGACTGCTGACATCCAGTGACAACACCATGTTTGTAATGCAGAGATTCAGCATCGTGTGTTCGGGCACAGAGACGATAATGCAATTGGTGTCACCATCTTGAAGCACCGGCTTCGGTGGCTTGAACATGTTCTACGTCGTGCATTATTTGCCGGTTCTGGTTGGAAAAGGCGGAGAGGTGGTCAGTGTATGAAATGGTGTCGTGGTATGGAAGGCTGCAAAGGCTGGCTTCTGTTGGTCCTTCACGACTCCCCGGATGAGGTCCGAGAGATGGTACAACACAGTGACTAGAGACGTTATCATATATGGCTCAGAATAGAAGTCAGTGGCGATCCTGCTGTAACATTTTACTTTGTTCATAAAAAGTTGTATCTTCCCTAACTGAAAGAATTCTCCTGGTTATACCTTACCTTTTCTCCTATTATTACTACACTCAACACACTAATCTATGACGTCATATATTTTTTATACTCACCTTACCTTTTTTCTCTTCCCATTCTCATTGTTTTGTGTATGGCATATATATGATACTCCCCTTGTACTAATATTTATGTGTTCGAATAAATGATACAGTATTACATCAACATTGCCTATTTGCTAGTACATATACATAAGCACTGCACGCAAATGCCCTTATATGGCCGAGGGTGGGGAGAGTCCGCCCTCCCTCTCCAAATACTCTTACATGGTCATGCGTATACAGCCACTGTCAGGGAAGTCCTACTCACTGTCTACTTGCTGCGAGGTTATTTGCGAAACTGATAGGATGAGAAGCGGAAGTCTGATTTTGGCGCCCGGGCAGTGCCCAAGCTCTCACACAAACCCAATGAAGTGTGACGCATATGCATTCGGTGCCAATTTCTGCCAAATGTGTTCAAGCAAGTTATTGCAACCCCGTATATTCTTTTGGTGGCTACTATGCACCTCCAACTGAAGAACAGGCGGATCACTGCGCGGTAAACCCATCTTCCGTTCGAAGGGCGGGCACGACACTTTGCCACATGTTAGCATAACCCTCAACTGAGCTTCCTGATCTGGTCAAACGTGAGCTCACCGTCGTGAACTAAACTCGCAAAGTATGCTAGGCCTACACCCTTACGTCAAGACATGAAACTTAACATTTCCAGTTAAATACAACCGCAAAACCCTAAAAAACAACCTAGCAGAAGTCGCTTAGGCGGGTTACATATACCGGTAAAACAGTGGATAAAGACAGGACAGTCCTCCCAAATCAACTTATATGCGGAAATGGTTTAATATACGGCAGACTACGTAGAAATCACACAAAAACGCCATGTTATATGCCGACTAACAAATGCCTGGACCTCGTCGCACAAAAACGCAGAATTGTACGCATACGTCTATACACGGAATTCGACAACCTTACAAGCGCAAGTCATGTTCAAGGCTTCAGAAGCATAACGACACTAATCAAATCAATTATGTATATTTGAGGGAAAATTAGGGACTTTGAACAAGTGGAATATCTACGAAATTTAACCAACTACAATGTAAAAACATCGTGGAAATGCAAAAAGTGTGTAGTTCGCTATTACATCATACCACCCATACCTCCCATCCCGCCATTCCTGCAACATTTGCTCCTGACTCTTCTTTCGGTAAATCAGTTACTACGGTCTCTGCAGTTGTCAATAAAGAAGCAACGCCAGCTGCATCAACCAAAGCAGTTCGAACGACCTAAAATGGAAGAGGTTGCAATTAATTTAACAGGTCATACCCAGATTCACCCAAATTGCTTGAGGATATGTACTTACCTTGGTGGGATCAATAATCCCAGCGTTGATCATGTCGACATAGACATCATTCTGAGCGTCATAACCCATATTTGGACCCATGCCCATGACTTTTTCTACAACAACAGACGCGTTAACCCCGGCATTATGTGCAATAGTATAACAGGGAGTTGAAAGTGCACGCAAAACTATTTGAACACCTAGAAACACAAAACTGAATCATAAGACTAACTAAAAACTGCATTGTAGCAAAAAACATAACAGACATCCGTGAAAATATGAGATAAGCCATTTCAGAATTATAAATGGACCTAATGGTGATATTACGAAGCTACAATGTATCACGCTAAGACATTGAGCAATAAACAAACATTCCAAAGAAACGTCTTACAGTTACAAGCACACAATTCGACAAATACGTTGTTTCATTGTACCCAAACAACCATAATTACGAACGGCTGCACAAGGGTTTTAATGATATTTTGTTTACGGTTCGTTTGACACATGACTTCTCAGTCATGCAACACTCAAACCGAATAAAGACATTCATATAGGTGTGCACTTAACACTATTAAGCAATTCAGACACCCTTAAATTTAGGCTTCACTTTGACCACAAGGAAAACCTTGTGGCTTCGATATGAGCCGGAAATATTGTCTACATATTCAAACAGAACAGTACTGGGGGTGAACGCAGCACCAACACACCTACTGAGTTGATTACAAGCAAACATCAGAACCTTGTAACACGCACTTCACTGCACCACCGTGAAAAAAGCGGACAACCCAACTCATAGAAAACAAACTAATCAGATGCATTTGTTGCACAACCATGAAAACAAGACGCTGGTTGCGTAAACTCGATGTTCGGTCTGACGACATGTAGCTTTTCGGCCACAAACCTACAGACCAACTATCACGTTGTTTCATTGTACCCAAACAA